TCTAATTGCTTTGATAGATGAGCAACAGGGGTGAAGGAGGGCCCCTGATTTTGTCCCAAAACTCCTAGGGCAATCTTCTCTCAGTAGTGCAGAGTATAAAGGGGCGAGAAATGTCGGGAAGTGTTAGAGCTGGGGCTGAGAGAATGGCTTGCTTAAGGTTGTTAAAGGCTGAACGTATATTTGATTTTAGCTCTAGGGGTTCTGAAAGATCTCCTCAGCTTGATATAAGGGTTGTGCCAAGAGGACCAAATTAGGAATCTAGCTAACCCCAAGAAGGACTGGATCTCTGTTTCTGATGTAGGGAGTGGTAGGGTGAATATAAGGGACTTTCTATTGGTAGTAATATATCTTTTAGTTGGTGTTAAAAGGACTCCGAGATAGGTGACTCTAGAAAGAGAGAACTGAACCTTGATGGGAGATACTCGATAGCCTCGATCAGCTAGAAAATTAAGGAATTGTAGTGTGTTGTTGAGAATATGTAAGCAAAGGACTACAAAGGAGGAGATCATCCACATATTGGAGGACAGTACTTGGAGTAAGGTCAAGAGAGATTAGGTCTGATGCTCGAGCTTGGCCAAAGAAATGAGGGCTATCATGAAAGCCTTGTGGGAGGACTGTCCATGTCAGCTGTTGGGAGCGATGATTGTCTGGATCAGTCCAGGTAAAGGTAAAGAGGTCTTGAGAGTCTGGGTGTAAAGGAATAGTAAAGAAGGCATCTTTAAGGTCTAGAACAGTGAAGTGGGTAGTGGAAGAGGGAATGAGAGAGAGAAGAGTATAAGGATTTGGAACTACTGGGTGTATGGGGATAACAGCCACATTGATAAGTCTCAGGTCCTGGACCAGGCAATAGGAGCCATTTGGCTTTTTGACAGGTAGGATAGGGGTGTTATAGGGAGAGTGAGTTGAGTGCAAGAGGCCCTGACGTAGGAGTTTAGTGATGATAGGCTTTAGCCCTTATTGATGTTTTTGGGAGATGGGGTATTGTGGTTGATTGGGGAATTTAGAGTAGTCTTTGAGACGGATGTGAACTGGAGCATGGTGAGAGGCAACATATGAGTTGTCTGTATCCCGAACCATGGGGTTTATGGACAAGGAAGGCAATGGGGTGGGGGAAGAGGAGGTGGGGTTAAGGAGCAGTAGCCAGGCTAGATCAGAGGGTGGACTTGAGATAGTAATAGAGGCTTTGAATTGAGAGGTCTCTCCCAAGAATAGGAGTGGGGCATTTTAGGAGTATGAGAAAAGAATGGGAAAATGGGGTATCTTGAAGTGTGCAAGGTAGAAGCTCAGTTATTCGTGGTGTAGATATTAAACCATCAACCCCCATAACAGAGACCTGAGAGACCTTGGTTTTTCCAGATTAGGCAGGCACAGCAGTATAAGTGGCCCCTGTGTCAGTGAGAAAGGAGATCGGCTTACCTGCCACAATAAGAGTTACCCTGGGCTCCATAGAGGTGATGAGAGTTGGGGCCTGGGGTGCTGGGCACCTTCAGTCTTCAGCGGCGAGTCCGAGGAGGCTGGGCAGAGCTGGGTCGGAGGACTCCCGCTCGGGACCAGGAGGGGATGGATGTCCAGGTCCCTGGAGGGGGATTTGGGCAGTCAACCTTCCAATGTTCCTTTATGCCACAGCTGGGACATGGACCTGGAGGGGGCCTTGGCTTTAGGCATAGGCGGGTCCAGTGGCCTTCTTTGCCACATTTGAAGCAGGGCCCAGGTGGCTTCCTTTCTTTGTTGGTCGATGGAGGCTTAGAGCCATGTAGGGCAGTGGCTAAAAGGTGGTATTTGGCCCAATCTCACTGGGCCTTCTCTAGCTTTGCCTGTTCTTCCTGGTTACTGAAAATCTTAAAGGCTAAATTTAAAAGGTCTCGTTGAGGGGTTTGAGGGCCTTCTTCTGCCTTTTTTAGTTTCTTTAGGATATCTGGGGATGACTGGGAGATTAAATGTGTGCTAAGACCAATGGTGCCCTCTGCTGAAGTAGGGTCTAATTTTATATATTTGTGTAGCACTTCCTTTAACCTGGCTAGAAATTGTGTTGGGTTTTCATCTAGTCTTTGAGTTCTTTCCCTGAGCTTATCAAAGTTGACGGCTTTATGCCCTGCCTCTTGAAGACCCACAGTGAGGCAAGCAATCATATGATTACGGGCTGCTTGTCCAGGTCTCCCTGCCTGATAATCCCAGTTGGGATCATCTTGGGGGACAGCCATTGCCCCTACAGGCTTAGTGTCCTCTGTCCTGTGTATCTCATCAGCATGGGCCTGAGAGGCTTGCCATACTTGTTCCTTCTCTTCTGGGAGAAGAGTAGAGGAAAATATGATGTAAATATCATGCCAGGTTAAGTCATAAGACTGGGTAAGATACTTGAATTCTTTTAGGTAATTATCAGGGTCTGAGGAGAAGGAGCCAAGATACTTTTCAATCTGAGATAGATCAGTGAGAGAGAATGGGATATGAACCCGAACAATGCCTTCTGCTCCAGCTACTTCCCCTAAAGGGAGGAGGGAAGGAGTGGGGTCCTGCGGTGAAGTTTCCTGTTTTAAAGTTGTCTGGGACTGGTGCGGGAGGATCTAGGGGGTTTAGGGTAAAGCCTTGGGACCCTCAGGGTAGAGGTTGGGGCTGAGGTCTCAGAGCTTATCTCAGTCACAAGCTGGGGAGGGGGATTGGGAGCTGCTGTGGTGGAGGCCTGCACTTGAGAAGAAGGGAGGGAGGAGGGGACGTAAGGTGGAGGTTGTGGAACTGGATCTGGAGTGGCTGCAAGGCGATTGGGAGCGCTAGGGGGTGGGCTGTGGTCAGAAGGGTCGAAGGAAGAAGAAGAAAAGTCTGAACAGGGATCAGGAGACATTGTATTAGGAGGATGTGGCCCAGAGTGGGCTAAGAGTATTTGAGAAGTAGAACAGGATTCACAGAGAGAGGATTAAGAGTGGAGAGCAGAAAACCTGAACATAAGGGATTTCTAACCTCTTGCCATTGCAGCTGCAGAAGTTATCGTCCCATAGACTATTATAATCAAGAGTTCCATTTTCTGGCCATCGGGACCTGTTATCAAGTCTGTATTGTGGCCAGACAGTGTTAGAATAGTAAATAAGTCTTTTTGGTCTTATCTCCTCTTGGAAACCCAAAGCTCTTAGGTTTTGGAGAAGGCATCCTAGAGGAGTAGATTTTGAGGGCTGGGATTGAGAATTCCCATTGTGGCTGAATAGGGAGGTTAGACAAGGGCAAGAGAAAGTGAGGAGAAAGGTCCGAGAGAAAAGGCATCCCCGTTCTCAGGACTTTCTCAGAGAGTAATAATAGTCTTCTTTGAAATGGGCTTCTCCTATTTCAAAGTCAGATGGGGCACAAGGCCAAGGACCTCAAGGGCTGTGGGGATCCTCCCGCCTAGTGCTAGGACTTGGAAATCAGGCGAGAGACAGGATCCAGGAGAATGGGATTTCACTCACCCTTGTAACTAATGATATGTGGGCCAGTGTGTGGATGTCTGTCCAGCAAGGCAAGTGGAAAGTCCCATTCCCGAACTTGCCTCAGTTTCTTGGCAAGGTCCAAGGGAGGGGACCACCGGAGGTGGGCTCCTGAAAGGAGCCCATCCAGTAGCGGTGGATCTTCCCTCCCGGGTTTCGGCACCAGAATGTAAGGCAAGTGCAGAGAAAAAGAGAGCGAGCCGGGCAGTCAGGCAAGAAAAGGGAAATTTTATTAGAGGGAAAAGAGAGGGTGACTGGCCCTTAAGGAGAACCAGAGTCCTCCCTTTCTGATGGAGTCCTTCTTATACCCCACCAATGAAAAATTCTCTGAAGAGATGGTCACATAGCCAGAGGTCTGGAATCTGGTGGTCCCACAGCTTTGAGAAGATAGGTACCAGTGCGATAACAGGATGCCATTTGGGCAATTTGGTCAGTCTCGAGGATCACTGTGATTTATTCTTTGTTTGCTAGGTCAACATAATGAGCCATCTTGTCAGTGAGACCCCCATGTGGACTCTATCACCTTGATTCATGGCCCTAACATCCCAGGTTCCTATGCAATATTGTTCTTTACAGCATCTGACTTTACTTCCATCACCAGTCACATCCACAACTGGGTGCTGTTTTTCCTTTGGCTCTGTCTCTTCATTCTTTCTGGAGTTATTTCTCCACTGATCTCTAGTAGCATATTGGGCACCTACTGACCTGGGGAGTTCATCTTTCAGTGTCCTCCTATCTTTTTGCCTTATCATGCTGTTCATGGGGGTTCTCAAGGCAAGAATACTGAAGTGGTTTGCCATTCCCTTTTCCAGTGGACCACGTTTTGTCAATTTAGATAAATCCCCTTTAATTTACTCGGAACTGGAAACAAAAAAACGGTGTGTGTGTGTGTGCCTTCTAAGTCACTTCAGTCGTTTCCGACTCTTTGTGACACTATGGGCTGTAGCACGCCAGGTTCCTCTGTCCGTGGCATTCTCCAGGCAAGAATACTGGGGTGGGTTGCCATGCCCTCCTCCAGGGGGTCTTCCTGACCCAGGGATGGACCCCCGTCTCTTATGGCTCCTGCACTGGCAGGTGGATTCTTTACCGCTAGCGCCATCTGGGAACTCATACTTACATGCATACATACATAGACATACAATTGCTTATTTACTTACTTAGTTACACAGTACTCATTGTTCATACAGCTGTTCAGTGACACGTGTCCTGTGGCCTGTCGTCCTCCCCTTTAGGTCTTTCAACTCAAAGATGAAAAAGGAACAGTCTCCTGTAGAGCTTAGAATTGAGCAGCCACATTCGGAACCCGAAGGATGAGGGAACCTTGTTGCCCCACCGGCTTCTTTACACGGCTACACACATCCCGTCCCTGAGTCAGTAGGACAGCCTAGGTCCGGGGAAGGAATTTGCCGACGTACCCGGAACTGTTTCCAAGGTTTCCTCAGGTTCTGGCGGTAGTGCGGCTGCGGGTCTTGGAGCCAAGGCAACGGAGAATTTTCCGGAGCTCGCGCGAGCGCCCCCTTCACCCACGGATTCAGGGACCCAGCAATAGCGATGGCTCCGGTGTCTCGCTCCCGCAGCCCGGAGTGGGAGGCCTCGAGCTCCGGGGGGAAGCGTCGCAGTTCTTCGAAGAGCCCTAAGCCTAGCAAATCCTCTCGCTCCCCGCGCGGCCGCCGCTCTCGCTCGCGCTCTTGCTCTCGGTCCGGAGACCGGAATGGCCTCAGCCATCACCTGAGTGGCTCCAGCCAAGGCTCCCGAAACCAGTCCTACCGTTCGCGCTCGCGGTCACGCTCTCGAGAGCGGCCCTCCGCACCTCGCGGCGCCCCTTTCGCTTCTGCCTCCTCGTCCGCCTATTATGGCGGCTACTCACGCCCCTACGGGAGCGACAAGCCGTGGCCTAGCCTCCTGGACAAGGAGAGGGAGGAGAGCTTGCGGCAGAAGTGAGTGAGACGAACGCACTTTCTTTCGCAAGCCCACCAGCCTTTAGAGTCCGATTTATCGTTCATTCCGCACCCGACTATTCGCATTTCGCTCTCTCTCCCTGACTTGCGCGCGTTTTCATCCCTTCCTTCAGGCCACCCACGATAACGCCTTATTCATCCCTTTCCATCGTTAGGTTTTTCGCTCATCCTCCGACCCCTTCATCTAGTGCCCTGGTCTCCCTCCCGCTACCCCTTCCAGCCTCCTGGCTTGTTGCGGGCATGGTCAAAAGCCTCAGACCTGCCGGAATTACAGCATCTACTTGGTTGTGTCGTTGTCATTAGTGATCACGTTTTCATTCCCCAGTAGACTGAGCCCTTGGAAGAGCCCAGTTTATTGATCACAAAATTTACAGTGCGGAGCACTTTGTAAGTGCGCAACCATTGTTTGTTGAATGATCAAACAGGTTTGAGACAATAGGATAAGTGAGTGGAGTTGTTTTGCAGCGACTTGGGAAAGGTTGAGATTTAAGGTTTAAATTGGAGGGGAGGAGAACCTCTGAAACAGGATGTTTGACTAAATGTAGGAAAAAATGATCTGCTAAACTGTAAGGTTGGACTACATTGAGAAAGATCTTAAGCGGTCTCAATCTTGACCATGAAAAATGAGGTCAGATTGAGATCAGATCTCCTTTAGTGACAGTGAGTATTGGAGAGGAAAATGAATAAGGAAAATTATAAATTACTGTTTTGTAAGCTTTAATTTTTTTTACTTAAAGAAATCGAAGTATAGTAGATATACAGTGTTTTTAAGTTACCTGTGTACAATAATATATTCACTTTTTTTAATTGATTCACTGTTTTTAAAGGTTATACTTCATTTATAGCAATTATGTGCTTTGTAAGTCTTAATATCTAATGCTTATTGAGTGTTAAATTGTGTGTCAGGCACTGTACTGATCATACTGTATGTATTTTTAAATACAAGAAATTAAAAAGTGTTAACAGGCATTGAGGGTCAGGTTAAGGTTTCAACAGTAGGGAGATAGCTTTAGTGCCTCCTCCAAAAGTAGGAGGCACTAAAGCCTAGTGATTAAAAGGACAGGCTCCAGAATCAGACTGCCTGAGTCTGAAGCCCTCCTTTGTTACTTAATACTTGTGTGACTTTGGACAAGTTACTTAACCTCTCTGAGTTCCATTTTTTCCCTGTGTAAAAGGGAAAAATTAGCACAAAAGCTTTTTAGAGATGTAATGATTTAGTGCCTGGAACACAATAAATTGCCCTTAAGTGTTAGCTGTTAGTGTTTTGTGCATGGGAACAGAAACAGTAAAAACAGTCCTGAGTTAGGTTGGAGACGGACTTCTCCAAATTACAATTTCCAGAGAGTTACCCCCAGGCCACGTCCATCAAAAAGCATCCAGTTTCCATACTAGACATTCCTCACCAAAAGATGTCAGAATTCCTTGGATGAAATGTGCATTTGTACATTTAGAAGATAAATAATTTTAAAGTATCCGTGAAGTCGGGTGGCAGGAGGGATAAGAACTTTACTGCTTGGTCTTTTTAGCCTGTCAAGCATTCTTCATCCCGTATGTATGTATTCAAAGTTTAGCTATAAGTGTGTCCTCTGTTAGATTTTATGTTACTTCAAGTAGGAAACCTGAGTCTGACTCTGCACGATTATACCTTTTCCCCTGAATAAGGAAGAAAAAAATAATTTGTTTTAAAAAATCAAAAGGATTTTATTTCTTTAGTAAGGTTCTTTTTTTAAACAAGTGAAGTCACAGCAGCTGAAGTTTGAAGAAGTAAACCTTAGTTTTTGCTGTGTATTGTTTGTGTGTTTATAAGGAATATCAAAAATTAAGAGAAGAAATCACAAACATAAAAGAAAATAATTTTGTCTTCCAAGGGTAGATAGAGAATTTACTCCTTTTTGAAAAAAGCATTGGGGGAAAAACAGAAAACAAATGCTCTATCTCACTGAGTAAAGTTTTGTCAAATAAAACTTTTCTTTTACTTTCAGAGCTCCCTTTATTTTCTACTTCTAATGCTTCATTTTTATTTTCTTCATTAATTCCTGACTTTTTGAAAACGAAGGTTTGACCTTGTCCAAAGTAGAGAATTCTCTTTACTTTCATAAGGATACATAAACAAATGAAGTTATTTCCAAATGTAAGACCATTTTTGTCACATATTGCAGAAGATGAAATGAGCAGTTGGGAGCTGTGTGATGCATGTACTGGAATGACACTGGACAGCCTCCCAGGCTGAATCTCTGGCCAGGCCTATCGGGCTGTCTGTAGTTTGTACTATTTGATAGAACATCAGATACATCAGAACATTAGATCCTAATGTTGAGTTCGATACTAATGTTGAGTTTTCTTTTTTTAAAAAAAATTTTGGCCACCTCTTGTGGCATGCGGGATCTTAGTACCTGAACCAGGGATCAAACCTGTATCACCTGCAGTGGTAGCACAGTGTCTTAAACACTGGACTGGCAGGGAAGTTCCTGAGTTTAAACCAAGTTTTATTAGTTTAAAATTTAAAATGTAGAGGGAAAACAGGACTTAACTGGACCCCTTTGAATCTTATAATACATTTAGGAAACGGTTTACCTGCCTGTCTCTTCTAGGAGACTAAGTGAGAGAGAGAGGATTGGAGAATTGGGAGCTCCTGAAGTGTGGGGACTTTCTCCAAAGAATCCAGAACCAGAGTAAGTGATTAAAAAATACATCTTTTATATGGCAGAAACCAACACAATATTGTAAAGCAATTATCCTTCAATTAATAAAAATAAATTTTAAATATATATACATATATAGTTTAAATGCAACTTTTGTTTAAATCCAGAGTCTATGGTCAAAATTTTTGTTAAGTGAAGAACTTGAACTACAGCTCTTTTTTTCCCTCTTTCTTGTGATTTATGCTATTCTCTGCCTTGAGTTTTAAAAACATTAAACATACCTTAGGATTAAAACATGCTCCTAGTGGATTTTAGCATGCTAATTGTTCTCTTTAAATTATAATTCATGGGATGCTAATTTCCTATTCATAGAAGGGTTCAGTGTTGAAACAAATACATTAATATTATTTTGAATCATTTTTTCTCAATCCAGTAACTGATTAAATGTCAGACATTAGCATTACAAAGTTTTTAAAAATGAATATACTGAGTCTGTTTAGTCTCCTGTATTCAGTATTATTAAAGGCCTAATGCTTTTTCCTTTTCCGTATTTTTTTTTTCCTCTGTGTTGTCGTTGTTCAGTCATGTCCAACTCTTTGCAACCCTATGGACTGCGGCTTTTCTCTCTTTGGTGCCATTCAGAAGCTGCATCTACCCTCCGCTCTATTTCTGTGTTTTCTTGAGACAAGGTGCTTGACCGGTAAACCTGTAATTTGCGACAGGGTGATAAAGCATTATTATCTGAAAGTTCTTTTTTCTTCTTAAAAAATTGTTATTTTTTCCCCATCCCCTATTATTTTTTGAGATATATTTGACATACAGTATTAGTTTCAGGCATGTTATAACATGATGATTCAATATTTGTATATATTGCAAAATGATCACCATAGTAAGTCTAGTTAGCATCCGTCACCATATATAGTTATAAAAAGTTTTTTCTTGTGATGAGAACTTCTAAGATTTACTTTCTTATCAACTGTCAGATATGCAATACAGCATTATTAACTGCAGTCGCCGTGCTGTACATCACATCCCCATGACTTACTTATTTTATAACTGGAAGTTTGTACTTCTTGATCCCCATCATGTGTTTTACCCATGCCCTGCCCCCACCTTCTGTGCTCTGGCAACCATCAGTCTGTTCTCTGTATCTGTGGTGTGGTGGTTTTTTGTTTTTCTAGATTTCACATATAAGTGAGATCATGTGTTAGCATTCTCTGTTTGACATTTCATTTAGCAAATGCCCTCACAGGCTGTCCATGTTGTTGAAAATGGCAAGCTTCATTCTTTTTTAAAGATAAATAATATTCTTTTGTGGGATATGCGTGTGTGTTTCTCATAGTTCCTTTATCCATTCATACATTCATGGATATTTGGTTGTTTTAACATTTTGGCCATTGTAAATAATGCTGCAGTGGGTATGAGTCCAGATATCTCTTTGAGATATTGATTTCAGTTCTATCAGATATATATCCAGAAATGAGATTGTTAGGTGATATGGAAGTTCAATTTTTAATTTCTTGAATAACCTCCATTCTGGATTCTATAATAGCTGTACCATTTTATATTCTCACTGAGTGTAAGTGTTCCCTCTTTTCCATATTCTCACCAACAGTTGTTATCTTTTGTCTTTTTGATAACATTCATCCAAACAGGTGTGAAGTGATATCTCATTGTGGTTTTCATTTGCATTTCCCCAGTGATTAATGATGTTGAACATCTCTTCATTACCTACTGGCCATCTGGGTGTCTTCTTTGAAAAAATGTCTATTCAGATCCTCTGCCTATTTGTAAAATTACATCATTTTTTGGTTTTGGGTTTTTTTTTTAATACTAATCCCTTCTTGGATATGATTTGCAAATGGTTTCTCTCATTCAGTCCATGCTGCAGTCCGCAGGGTTGCCAAAGAGTCAGACACAACTGAGCGACTGAACAACATTCAGTAGGTTGCCTTTAACACTCTTCTGATTCTTACTACCATTTTCTTTAAATTCAGCTCTGATGAACATACACCAGTAGAGGATGAAGAGCCAAAGAAAAGCACCAGTTCAGCTTCTACTTCAGAAGGTATTTTTTTAATTGAGAGCTTTTTTATTGAGAAATTTTAAAAAATACATTTATAAATAGTTGAACATTAGACTTTACTTTTACTCAAATTGCCTGTCATCATTTCCTTTTCAGTATTTCAAATACAATAAAATTGATACTCAAAAATACTTCTGATACTTGTATATGTATGGCTGAGTCCCTTTGCTGTTCACCTGAAACTATCACAGCATTGTCAATTGGCTATACCCCAGTACAAAATAAGTTTCTTTAAAAAAATTTTAAAATTTAGAAGTAGTTTTTATTTGTATTTTATGTAGAAGAAAAGAAGAAGAAGAAGAAGTCTAGTCATTCAAAAGAAAGATCCAAGAAAAGGAGGAAGAAAAAATCATCTAAAAGAAAACACAAGAAGTATTCTGATGATAGTGACAGCGACTCTGATTCTGACACAGACTCCAGTGGTAAGAAAGCCAATATCATTCTGCCTGCCTTACTTCAAAACTAGTTTTACTTCTTAAAGTTTATTTTACTTTTATTTATTTTTGGCTGTGCTGGATCTTCGTTCCTACGTGGGGGCTTTCTCTAGTTGTGGCAAGTGGAGGCTGTTGTTCGTTGCGGTACACAGGCTTCTCATTGCAGTGGCTTCTCTTGTTGTGGAGCTCAGGCTCTAGAGCATGCAGGCTCAGTGGTTGTGGCGCATGGACTTAGTTGTTCCCTGGCACGTGGGATTTTCCTGGACCAGGGATTGAACCCTTTTCCCCTCCATTGGCAGGCAGATTCTTAACCACTGGACCACCAAGGAAGTCCAAAACTTATGCTAGAAAAAGGTTCTTTAAAATAGTAACCAAGAGTTTTGAACATGCACTGACTTTGTGTCGGGCACCCTGCTAAGTGCCTGATAGGCATTATTGCTGTTTAATCCACACAGTCACTGTTGGACACATCTTAGAGTTGGGGAGACAGAGGACCCGAGCAGGTTATAAGTACCGCTCGTACCCAAGGTCACACAGTTGGGATTCAGAGCTAAGTGGTGTGACTCCAGAGTGGTTGTGTGTAGCTGCACAAGGCATGTGGCACCGAACCAGGTTGGAATCAGTCTGTGAGACGTGTGGTGCCAAACCAGGCCATAGGGGGCTGCATCAGCCCAGTGGAGCATCTCTTTTGTGAGATTCTCACACTCAGCGGTCAGCTTTGTGCAATTTTCAAAGAGGCACAACATAGGGGACCCTTCAGGCCAGCAGTTGATTTCTAGAAGACACTTCCTGTGGGGTTGCATCACAACAAAGCCGTCTTTTGGTGCCCTCCCATGGCTGGTGATTGACAGAGGGTGCCTCCTCTGAGGTCACATTTCTGTGGATTTCTCATCACAGGTACCCTGTCACTCTCCTGCAGCGTCCTGTGTGTCCTGAGAGTGACTTTCATCTCATATTGCACATCCTTTCTCCTGACTCTGCTATGTGGTACAGAATCCAGCTGCCTACAGTGCCAGTCTCTCCTTGCATGCGGCTTGGCCTACTCACTGCATGGATGGACGTGCATTACTTTTGTAATAAAACTGACTTAGAAAGAACTAGCTTAAGAGTCACTTTTTCACAGTCAAACCATTCCTCACCCACCCTCTCCAAACCAGCCTGATGGTGATACTCCTCTGTGCGCCCAGAACACTGCCCCCTACTTCCCTGTCACTCGGATTCTACTGACCCCCTTCCCTCTGTCTCTTCCACTAGACTGAGCTCCTGGAAAGCATCCTCCCAAACACACACATCATGAAGATACTCAAACATCCAGAAAAGTGAAGGGAGTAGTGTCATTAATACCATACACATTGCTTGTCATTCAGGTGTACCATCTGTTAGCATTTTGACATGTTTGCTTCAGATATGGATTTTTGTTGTTGTTGTTGAGATATTCGAGGTAAATTACAAATATCACACTGCCACCCTAAATATCTTTGTGTCCATCTTTAAATAATAAGGACATTTTCCTATCTAATCACAATACTATTATCTCATGCAATCAAGTTAGTAATAATACCCTATAGAACCAAATGCTTAGTGCAACTTTAATTTCTGTGTCCCTCATTCCTTGTACATTTCCCAACAACAGATGTTTGAATGAATTAAATTCTCTGTAACAACAAATAGAAGAGTTATAAGGTATTTATCTACTCAAAAGTATTAAGGTTTTAGAGTTAAAATTTTTTAAAATTATAATATGCTTTAATTTGCAGATGAAGATACAAAAAGGAGAGCAAAGAAAGCCAAGAAAAAGGAAAAGAAGAAGAAACGCAGATCGTTGGTTTTTTTCTTTAATTTTTATTATGGAAAATTTCAAAAATATATACAATTATATAAAATACTATAATGGACTTCTATGTAACCATCACTCAGCTTGAACAATGATTAGCTTATTGACAGTCTCTGCTGTCCACCCCCACTGTTATTTGGAAACCGGTCCCAGATATCATTTCATCCATAAAGCTGCAAGTTTCTCTAAAAGATAGGCATTCTTTAAAAAAAAAAGCACAATACTATTAATCCACATAAAATATTTAATAATAATTCTTCATTCAGATCTCAGCAGTTTTTTGAATAGTTTCCTCAAATTAAAATCTAAACAATGTACATGAATTGTGATTGGTTGATAGGTCTTTTTCATCTCTTTAAATAGATAGCTTTCCCTTCCCTTTTTGTTCCTGCAATTTAGTTCTAGAGGAAAAAATATCATTTGCCCTGGAGAGTTTCCTGCAGTGTGGATTTTGCTGGTTGTATTCTTACGGTGTCCTTTTAGCATGCTTTCGGTCCTTTATATTTCCTGTAGATTGATAGTTAGGTCTAGACACTTGATAAGGTTCAGATTTGAGTTTTTGGTAGGAGTACTTCATAAGTAGTACTGTGTACTTCCAGCAGGAGGCAGATAATATCTGGTCATCTCATTTTGACATATTAACCTGCATCAATAGTCTTTGTTTAGGTCCCTTACTTCATTAGGGACTGCAAAATGATTCTTCATTTATTAGGTAAAATAATTCTATATGAGAAGCCTACCATCATTAACTGTTTGGTTACCCTGGAGTATAGTTGGTATAGGAAGGGTGGAATAATTGCTTACTTGTTTTATGAGTTTTCAAAATAATGAGTTGAGGTTTTTTGATGTTTTTTATCATCATGAGCCCAGGTATTCAAACATATTTGATGTATTTTAATCCATTATACTGAAAATTACTGATGTTCAAATTGATAAGCGCTGTTTTCTTAAACTGCTTTATTTCTGCTATCTTTCTACAACATGAGAACTATATTTTATTGTTCCCTTGAAAGTGAAAGTATTTGTCGTTCAGTCTTATCTGACTCTTTGCGACCCCATGGGCTGTAGCCCGCCAGGCTCCTCTGTCCATGGAATTCTCCGGGCAAGAATACTGGATTGGGTTGCCATTCCCTTCTCCAGGGGATCATCCCAACCCTGGAATCGAACCTGGGTCTCCTGCATTGCAGGCAGATTCTTTACCGTCTGAGCCAGCTTATAGTGAAACATGATTTGGTTAAATAAGTTAAAATTTTTAATACAAATTCTTCTCTAACACATTTGAATAAGCTGAGCATCCAAATCATTTCAATCAGTCTTTCATTTCCTTGAAAAAGTAAGATGCCCTTTAGCCTGGGAATATTAAATCAATTTATATCAAATTATAATCAATGCAGGAAGAAATATAAGAAAAAGAAGTCTAAGAAGAGCAGAAAAGATTCCAGTGACTCAAGTTCTAAAGAGTCCCAAGAAGAGTTTCTGGAGAATCCCTGGAAGGATCGATCAAGTAGGTTCTTCTGATAGACTTTGACTTCAGAACAAATAAAACACTGAATTAACTGATTAGTCAAAATGTGAATATGTTTCTGAATATCTTTCCTGTAGAACCTGAAGAACCCTCAGATTTGATTGGCCCAGAGGCTCCCAAAACACTTGCCTCTCAAGATGATAAGCCTCTGAAGTAAGTAAGAGCATGTTTATAATCTCTAAAGTGCCTTCCCAAAAGTATGGTCCTAACTTACTCTTCCAAGTATATCTTTCACTACTCCCTTATTTAGACCCAAAGTTTCTGTGCACTTTCACCTTACTTCTTCCTCCAACATGCCTTCCCTTCTTTTCCCAGTCCTGGTTTCTTCACTGACCCCAATTCCTTCCTGTTAAAATCCTTAACATTTCTCAAAGCCCCTCAAAGGAGGGGCATGTGCTGATTCCCAATACCTTCCCTCCACAGGTAGGTGTGATTCCTACCCCTCTTTAATTCTTTAGTACTCACAGCATTTTATTTTGTGCATTGTAATATATATTCTACATTGTATTAGTGTTATATCCTTATTAATACATAAATTCCACAAGAACAGAGATTCTTTTTACTGTATATTACAAGCTTTGAGTTTAATAGATACTCACGAAGAATTTAGTGAATTGAATGAAGGGGTGTGGTAGTTTTTGTTTTTTGTTTTTAAAATTTTTTCTTCAAGTGTATTAGGTCTTAGTTGTAGCATTTGGGGTTTAGTTCCCTGAGCAGGGATCAAACCCAGGCCCCCTGCACTGGGAACGTGGAGTCTTAGCTATTGGACCACCAGGGAAGTCCCAGGATGGTAGTTTTCAAAGCCCCCTTGAATGAAAGTTAATAGAGAACTGTTACTGTATAGCATTATTATTGGCTATAAGTCTTAAAAAATATGTTAATTTGAGATATATTATTTCTCTACTTTGTATTTAAAGGAAAAAGGAATTCACTGGAGGCAGAAGCAATAACTACAACAGCTGTAGGGAAAATTGATCCATAATTGTAAACCATGAATATATGCTCACTAACATCAGTCCTTTTATTCTTCCAAAGTATCTCTGCATTTCTGGGTTAGTAATATAGGTCACAGTGCAGTGTTCCCTAATTAAATTAAGATAATTTACATAAGGCTTCCCAGCATGCTGCCCAGCAACTGTTATTCCTACTGTTTTCTGAGAGAAATGTTTTTTGTGCTTTCTTTTATAACGAACCTTTTCTTAATTCTATATTTCATTGTAGCTATGGCCATGCTCTGTTACCCGGTGAAGGTGCAGCTATGGCTGAATATGTAAAAGCTGGAAAACGTATCCCACGAAGAGGTGAAATTGGCTTGACAAGTGAAGAAATTGCATCATTTGAATGTTCAGGCTATGTAATGAGTGGCAGCAGGTATGTTCTTGGCAATGAGGTCAGTTTCCTTTATAACTACCAAAATTATATTTTGGTGATAGATTTTCATTAAGTGCCCATTTCTATTGAAAAGTAGAGTATAAATGTTGGTTTGTTATTGGTTTTATTGTTATAAATATAGTTGTCTAAAATTCCAAGTAGGTATGCAACTCAGTTGTATCTCCAGCTTCAAAGAATTAGGCTTTCCAGTGTCCTTTTCTAGTTCATAGTTTGATACAGATGGTTTATCTTCTGGAGGAGATAGTTAAATTCAGTTACTTATCAGTGCCCCATGAGCAGTGTGGCATTCTGGTAGTTAAGAAAGCATTTTCATAAGACAGTAAAAGTTTCTGAGTGTGCCTCTAGTTCTCTGTGGAGAACGTGAACTCTCTAGTCCTCTGGACACTGAGAATGAAGAGTGAAAAAGGATATGACAGAGGTCAGTTTCAGCATGAGAAAAGGAATATAAAATGGGGAAGAAAAAGCAAAATACCAGGAAGAACAAGGAGAGTGAACTAATAGTGTTTCAATACCAAGATCAAGCTGAATTTTAAAACTTCATAAACTTTTAAAAGTGGGCAAATATTTGCAGGACCCCTGAAGCATCTTCAGAATCTTGGAATTCTGAGGACTGACATTTGAAAACATTATATCTAAGAACCAATAAGACAAGAAAAAGAAATGAGAGGCTCAAGAATTGGAACAAAGGATGTAACGCTGTCACTTTTTGTGAATGATAGAAAATCCTGGACTTCCCTGGTGGTCCAGGGGTTTAAGAATCCACCCTGCAATGCAGGGAACATGGGTTAAATCCCTGATCTGGGAAGATTCCACATGACTTGGGGCAGCTAAGCCTATGCACCACAAATACAGAGCCCGAGCTCTAGAACCCGGGAGCTGCAACTACTGAAACCCAAGAGCCTAGAGCCTGTGCTTCAAAATGAGAGAGGCCACCACAATGAGAAGGCTAAGCACCAGAGAAAGCCCACATGCAGCAACGAAGACCCAGCACAGCCAAAAATAAAATAATTAACTTAAAAAAAAGAGAAAATCCTAAGGAATCCTCAGCTGAATTATAAATAACAGGAATGTTTAACAAATGGTTAGATATAAAGCTGGTATACAAAAATCAACTGCATTTCTGTGTACCAGCAACAAACAACTAGAAAATATAATTAAATGAAAGGAAAACATTTATAACAGTATCATCAGAGAATATGAAGGACTTAGGAGTAAATCTTAACAAAAGAAGTCTAAGATCTTTACAGGCAAAACTATAACACCAAGGCATTTAGTAAGACCTAAATAAATGGAGAGATACCATGTTCATGAATAGGAAGGCAATACTGTAGAGTTATCAGTTCTTGCAAAATTAAAATGTTAGACTAGAGGGCCAAGAGCAGCCATCTCATTTCTGAAGAAGAGCAGGAAGGTGATTTTTCCTACTGATAGGAGGGCTTATTATGAAGCTTGCAGCACTTCACTTCAGAAAGAGTGGGGAAACAAATGAACTGTTCAGTGGAATAAAATACAGAGCCTGGTAGAGTTATGCATGTATGGAACTTCATTACATGAAAGAGCTGCTTTCTCCAATCAGTGGGGAAAGAAGGAACTAGGCAGTAAATGGAGCAGGAAGAAAATAGTCACCTGTATGGAAAAAATGTAAGTAGAACCCTTTATCACTATATTTACAGCCTGAGCTACCAGGGAAGTCTAGAACCCTTTATCACTATATTTAAAAGTCAGTGCAGCTAGGTTATGGACTTAAATGTCAAAAACAACTTCATTACGCTTAGTATAGAATATGAACAGTTATCTATTAGATCTTGGGGTGGGGAACTATTTCTTAAAGAAGACCAAAAAATGCACCAACCACACAATAATATATTAATAACTTTACCTGAGGTAAAAGCAAGAAATTTTGTTCATCAGAACATCTTAAAATAAGTGAAAAGACAAACCCTTTTCATGAAGATGGCGCCGAAGGCGAAGAAGGAAGCCCCTGCCCCTCCTAAAGCTGAAGCCAAAGCAAAGGCTTTGAAGGCCAAGAAAGCAGTGTTGAAAGGTGTCCACAGCCACAAGAAAAAGAAGATCTGGACGTCACCCACCTTCCGGCAGCCCAAAACACTGCGACTCAGGAGGCAGCCCAAATATCCTCGGAAGAGCGCCCCTAGGAGAAACAAACTTGACCACTATGCCATCATCAAATTCCCCCTCACCACCGAGTCAGCCATGAAGAAAATAGAAGACAACAACACACTGGTATTCATTGTGGATGTCAAGGCCGACAAGCACCAAATTAAACAGGCTGTGAAGAAGCTCTGTGACATTGACGCGGCTAAGGTCAATACTCTGATCAGGCCTGATGGAGAGAAGAAGGCATATGTTCGACTGGCTCCTGACTATGATGCTTTGGATGTTGCCAACAAAATTGGGATCATCTAAACTGAGTCCAGCTGGCTAATTCCAAATATAAAAGTTTTCACTATGTAAAAAAAAAAAAGTGAAAAGACAAGTTCCAAGCTAGGATAAGATCTTGTAATACACAAAATTGATAAAGAGTTAGTACTGAGAGTATTTAAAGAATTTCTGTAAACAAAAGGAAAGTGAGAAAAATGACACAGGCATTTGTCAGAAGAAAAAAATATATGGCTACACATAAAAAGATGTTCATGATCTTGATCAGATCATGAACTCTTTATTGCCAACTTCAGACTTAAATTGAAGAAAGTGGGGAAAACCACTAGACCATTCAGGTATGACCTAAATCAAATCCCTTATGACTATACAGTGGAAGTGAGAAATAGATTTAAGGGACTAGATCTAATAGAGTGCCTGATGAACTATGGACGGAGGTTTGTGACATTGTACAGGAGACAGAGATCAAGACCATCCCCAAGAAAAACAAATGCAAAAAAGCAAAATGGCTGTCTGAGGAGGCCTTATAGATAGCTGTGAAAAGAAGAGAAGTGAAAAGCAAAGGAGAAAAGGAAAGATATACCCATTTGAATGCAGAGTTCCAAAGAATAGCCAGGAGAGAAGAAAGCCTTCCTCAGCGATCAATGCAAAGAAATAGAGGAAAACAATAGAATGGGAAAGACTAGGGATCTCTTCAAGAAAAGAAGAGATACCAAGGGAACATTTCATGCAAAGATGGGCTCAATAAAGGACAGAAATGGTATGGACCTAACAGAAGCAGAAGATATTAAGAATCAGTGCAAGAAAACACAGAAGAACTGTACAAAAAAGATGTTCACAACCCAGATTATCACGATGGTCTGATCACTCACTCACCTAGAGCCAGACATCCTGGAATGTGAAATCAAGTGGGCCTTAGGAAGCATCACTATGAACAGAGCTAGTGGAGGTGATGGAATTCCAGTTGAGCTATTTCAAATCCTAAAAGATGATGCTGTGAAAGTGCTGCACTCAATATGCCAGAAAATTTGGAAAACTCAGCAGTGGCCACAGGACTGGAAAAGGTCAGTTTTCATTCAAATCCCTAAGAAAGGCAATGCCACAGAATGCTCAAACTACCACACAATTGCACTCATCTCACACACTAGTAAAGTAATGCTCAAAATTCTCCACGCCAGGCTTCAGGAATTCATGAACTATGAACTTCCAGATGTTCAAGCTGGATTTAGAAAAGGCAGAGGAACCAGAGATCAAATTGCCAACATCCTCTGGATCATCGAAAAAGCAAGAGAGTTCCAGAAAAAACATCTATTTCTCCTTTATTGACTTTGCCAAAGCCTTTGGCTGTGTGGATCACAATAAACTGTGGAAAATTCTGAAGGAGTTGGGAATACCAGTCCATCTGACTTGCCTCCTCTGAGAAACCTGTATGCAGGTCAGGAAGCAACAGTTAGAACTGGACATGGGACAACAGACTGGTTCCAAATCAGGAAAGGAGTACCTCAAGACTGTATATTGTCACCCTGCTTATTTAACTTATATGCAGAGTACATCATGAGAAATGCTGGGTTGGATGAAGCACAAGCTGGAATCAAGATTGCTGGGAGAAATATCAGTAACCTCAGAGATGCAGATGACATCACCCTTATGGCAGAAAGTGAAGAACTAAAGAGCCTCTTGATGAAAGTGAAAGAGGAGAGTGAAAAAGTTGGCTTAAAGCTCAGCATTCAGAAAACAAAGATATGGCATCTGGTCCCATCACTTCATGGCAAATAGATGGGGAAACAGTGGCTGACTTTATTTTTCTGGGCTCCAGAATCACTGCAGATGGTGATTGCAGCCATGAAATTAAAAGATGCTTACTCCTTGGAAGGAAAGTTATGACCAACCTAGACAGCATATTAAAAAGCAGAGACATTACTTTGTCAACAAAGGTCCGTCTGGTCAAGGCTATGGTTTTTCCAGTGGTCATGTATGGATGTGAGAGTTGGACTATAAAGAAAGCTGAGTACAGAAGAATTGATGCTTTTGAACTGTGGTGTTGGAGAAGACTCTTGAGAGTCCTTTGGACTGCAAGGAGATCCAGCCAGTCCATCCTAAAGGAGATCAGTCCTGAATGTTCATTGGAAGGACTGATGTTGAAGCTGAAACTCCAATACTTTGGCCACCTGATGCGAACAGCTGACTCATTTGAGAAAACCCTGATGCTGGGAAAGATTGAGGGCAGGAGGAGTAGGGGACGACAGAGGATGAGATGGTTGGATGGCATCATTGACTCAATGGACATGGGTTTGGGTAGACTCCGGCAGTTTGTGATGGATAGGAGGCCTGGCGTGCTGCAGTCCATGTGGTCGCAAAGAGTCGGACACAACTGAGTGAACTGAACTGAACTGAAAAAGATGTTCATTATCATTGGAAATGGAAATCAACTTATGGACATAAGGTTTTACACCCATTCGATAGAAGTTCAGAGTTCTAATAACTGCAAGCATTTGATAAGATGCATGTCTATATGATCTCTTAAGTATTGCTAGTGGTGGTATACATTAGAAAACAGTCTGATGTTGTCTTGGAAAGTTGAGCATTCACATATTTTATGACCAAGCAATTCCATACCTGTGTACCCAAGAGGATCTTTCCCATGTACTGGGAGATGTGTATATGGATGTTTACCACAGCATCATTCATCTAGCACTTTCTGTTCCAAATCAATTCCTCTACTCACTGTACCCTGAGCAACCTAAGTACATTGCCATCTCCTTGACTCCTTGACCTGCCACTCCCCCACCTTCACACTAACCTGAAATGAGTCTCCCCTCTTCACCTTACTCAGTTTGCTTTGTTTTTCTAGGCATAGTTCAAGCTTCATCTATAATTGATTATGTAGGTTTGCGTACATACACATAAAAGCATCAGGTTTTCATGAAGTTTTTCTAAATAAGCAGACCTTTTGAAGACGATCTAAGAGTTTCCCTCTGCCTCAGAGCCTATACTTTCCTGATTTGGCCCTTGGGCTAAAATCCCTTCTTTCTTTTCTGTGAGCTGCTACTGGATTCTAAGGAAGTTAAATCCACCCACAAAACATCCAAAATTCAGTTGTAGATTTAAACCTAGTTCTTTTGGTTATAGGATAAATTAGAACTCTGAAGAAGTTCCACCAGCTAGATGACAACTTAAATCTTATCTGTCCTACTATCAAGTCTGCATACTACTTAGGAAGTTTAATAATTTGCCTGTTTGCTTGTCTTACTGGAAACAACAGAACTAGACTTATGCCCTTAGAATTTGAAATTAATAACTTCACTCTATTGACAGAACCTCAAGAGATCATTATTTACATACTAGAAATTAATCAAAGGACATGTCAGTGGATAAAATGAATGATCCTTGGAAAATCTAGAGAAAGTTTCTATTTGTCAGCATTTTAAATTGACCACTCTGTATTAGGAAAGGATTAGTGAGGAAACACTATGAGAATAATTACTGAGAAATTAAGCCAAAAATACAATTATCTCCAGGCATCGCCGAATGGAAGCTGTGCGTCTGCGAAAAGAAAATCAGATCTATAGTGCTGATGAGAAGAGAGCCCTTGCATCCTTTAACCAAGAAGAGAGACGAAAGAGAGAAAACAAGATCTTGGCCAGTTTTCGAGAGATGGTATACAGGAAAACTAAAGGGAAAGAGGACAAATGAGGATTTTCTGATTGTTGATCAGACGTTTTTAACAACAAAAAAGAAAGTTTGGGTTCCATATATACACACACAAAAAGATTATGATCTGAAAAAGCTTTACAGTGCTACTGTGCCTTCTATTTAATTCTTTCAATCCTATAAAAAAAGCTGCGTATTGATATAACTTTAGCAAGCTCTTTGGGTTATTTTGGATTAACCAAAACAACTTTCTGCTTTAAAAATCCAAATTATGAGTGAAATTCTACTGTGTTGGGGGAGGAGACATTGAGAGAAAATTCTGGTGAAATGAGGAACTGAACTCTTACATTATGGGACAGTGCTGCCACGAGTTCTACTTGATGCCCACCCCAACTGAACTTGTGGGAAGTTATCATTCCTCTATGTTGAATGTCATAAAGGGACTTGATAGAAGCATACAGGAGGCCACTTTTGTTAACAGAAAGAAGGCATGGCTGAAAAAAAGAAAATCTAGAATTTGAAGATTGACTTGTATATTACAATATGTTGTCTGCTCTGGAAATAATGTATTTTGATTTTAGTCCCTACCTCCACCCCCAAACCAACCAACAAACCAAACAGCAAACTAACCCACAGACTTACTGAATTGAAAATATGAACATTAGGTTTAAAATTCTTAACAGGTTACTTAAAAATGGCTCTTTCAAATATAAAATATTGGGAAGTCTGTTCTGTAAATGGAAGTACATTATTTCCATCTGAACTGTGTTTAGATCATCATTTGAACACTGTAAATGAATAGGAATCGATAATAATCAGGAGTTTAATAAGGAAAAATACAGTGAATTATTGCTTTAACTTCATGTGTCATAAGAATGAAGATAATGTGATATTAAAATTTTTTTAACTCTATACTTCATGTAACATGCAGATTTCATTTTATTTTCATTTATTTTTATTAGTTGGAGGCTAATTACTTTAATATTATAGTGGTTTTTGCCATACATTGACATGAATCAGCCATGAATTTACATGTGTTCCCCATCCTGAACCCCCCTCCCACCCCCCTCCCCATCCTATCCCTCTGGGTCATCCCAGTGCACCAGCCCCGAGCACTTGTCTCATGCATCCAACCTGGACTGGTGATCTGTTTCACACTTGATAATATACATGTTTTGATGCTGTTCTCTCAGATCATCCCACCCTCGCCTTCTCCCACAGAGTCCACAAGTCTGTTCTATACATCTGTGTCTCTTTTTCTGTCATATGGGGTTATTGTTACCATCTTTCTAAATTCCATATATATGTGTTAGTATACTGTATTGGTGTTTATCTTTCTGACTCTCTTCACTCTGTATAATGGGCTCCAGTTTTATCCATCTCATTAGAACTGAGTCAAATGAATTCTTTTTAATGGCTGAGTAATATTCCATGGTGTATATGTACCACAGCTTCCTTATCCATTCGTCTGCTGATGGGCATCTAGGTTGCTTCCATGTCCTGGCTATTATAAACAGTGCTGCGATGAACATTGGGGTGCATGTGTCTCTTTCAGATCTGGTTTCCTCGGTGTGTATGCCCAGGAGTGGGATTGCTGGGTCATATGGCAGTTCTATTTCCAGTTTTTTAAGGAATCTCCACACACTTCTCCATAGTGGGTGTACTAGTTTGCATTCCCACCAACAGTGTAAGAGAGTTCCCTTTTCTCCACACCCTCTCCAGCATTTATTGCTTGTAGACTTTTGGATAGCAGCCATTCTGACTGGCGTGAAATGGTACCTCATTGTGGCTTTGATTTGCATTTCCCTGATAATGAGTGATGTTGAGCATGTTGAGGTTTTCTATGTAGAGGATCATGTCATCTGCAAACAGTGAGAGTTTTACTTCTTCTTTTCCTATCTGGATTCCTTTTATTTCTTTTTCTGCTCTGATTGCTGTGGCCAAAACTTCCAAAACTATGTTGACTAGTAGTGGTGAGAGTGGGCACCCTTGTCTTGTTTCTGACTTTAGGGGAAATGCTTTCAATTTTTCACCATTGAGGATAATGTTTGCTGTGGGTTTGTCATATATAGCTTTTACTATGTTGAGGTATGTTCCTTCTATTCCTGCTTTCTGGAGAGTTTTTATCATAAATGGATGTTGAATTTTGTCAAAGCTTTCTCTGCATCTGTTGAGATAATCATATGGTTTTTATCTTTCAATTTGTTAATGTAGTGTATTACATTGATTGATTTGTGGATATTGAAGAATCCTTGCATTCCTGGGATAAAGCCCACTTGGTCATGATGTATTATCTTTTTAAGATGTTGTTGGATTCTGTTTGCTAGAATTTTGTTAAGGATTTTTGCGTCTATGTTCATCAGTGATATTGGCCTGTAGTTTTCTTTTTTTGTGGCATCTTTATCAAGTTTTGGAATTAGGGTGATGGTGGCCTCATAGAATGAGTGTGGAAGTTTGCCTTCTTCTGCAATTTTCTGGAAGAGTTTGAGTAAGATAGGTGTTAGCTCTTCTCTAAATTTTTGGTAGAATTCAGCTGTGAGGCCATCTGGTCCTGGGCTTTTGTTTGCTGGAAGATTTCTGATTACAGTTTCAATTTCCGTGCTTGTGATGGGTCTGTTAAGATCTTCTATTTCTTCCTGGTTCAGTTTTGGAAAGTTACACTTTTCTAAGAATTTGTCCATTTCTTCCAAGTTGTCCATTTTATTGGCATAGAGCTGCTGGTAGTAGTCTCTTATGATCCTTTGTATTTCAGTGTTGTCTGTTGTGATCTCTCCATTTTCATTTCTAATTTTGTTGATTTGGTTCTTCTCCCTTTGTTTCTTAATGAGTCTGGCTAACGGTTTGTTAATTTTATTTACCTTTTCAAAAAAACAGCTTTTAGCTTTGTTGATTTTTGCTATTGTCTCTTTTGTTTCTTTTGCATTTATTTCTGCCCTAATTTTTTAAGATTTCTTTCCTTCTACTAACCCTGGGGTTCTTCATTTCTTCCTTTTCTAGTTGCTTTAGGTGTAGAGTTAGGTTATTTATTTGACTTTTTTCTTGTTTCTTGAGGTAAGCCTGTAATGCTATGAACCTTCCCCTTAGCAGTGCTTTTACAGTGTCCCATAGGTTTTGGGTTGTTGTGTTTTCATTTTCATTTGTTTCTATGCATATTTTTATTTCTTTTTTGATTTCTTATATGAGCAGATTTCATTTTAAACATTCTTAAACTTTTCAGTTTATTTTTTACATCTGTCATTCAGGTTAACTTCTCACTTTATCACTTTTATATGGCTACTATTGACTTTTGACTTTGGGAAAAATGAAAAATTCTGGGACTATGAGATCGTGATCTTTCTTTTTTCTTCCCTCCTTTTGTTCAAGTTTAGTTGTTAAGACATAGGAGGGAAGCGGGGAGGGGATAGTAGAAGTTTTGGCTGTTTTTGTTAAGGTTGTTTCGAACTGCATTATTATGTGCCTAAGGTAAGTTTAAATTATCTGAATGATAGGGAATTTCAGGCTCTGCTGTTATAAAATGCCCTCTCTTCTTATAAGCTAATTTCCCAGATGACTCAGATGGTAAAGAGTCAGCCTGCAATGCAAAAGACCTGGGTTCGATCCCTGGGTCAGGACGATCCTCTGGAGAAGGGAATGGCAACCCACTCCAGTATTACATTAGTTGAAAGTATTTTTTTTAAGTTTTAAAACAAAACAGTGAAAGTATACTTGATATACTTTATTAAAGTATAAATTAAAAATTTACTACTTAACATATTCTAGGAAAATGTCTACCTTTAACCCACAGTTAATGAACTAAACAGCCAGTTGGCACGTGTCAACATTTATGATGACTGAATTTGAAGTGATTGTGATTTATCATCTTTGTTGCCTAGCCTAATATATCTATTATTTCCGAAAGTTGAAACTAGGTCCCAAATTTGTGAGTCATAATCTGTCCATTTCCCTGTGTGATAAAATGTAAATTTTTATTTCCCATCTAAAAATTTTATTCTCAGGAATTCCCCAATAGTCCAGTGGTGAGGACTCTATGCTTTCACTGCTGAGGGCCCAAGTGCAATCCCTTGTCAGAGAACTGAGATGCCACAAACTGTGCAAAAGGGGGCCACATTTTTTTAAAATTTTTTTTCTCTAAGAACATTAGTTTTTGTTACTAGTTCCTAGAGACTGAATGGGATTGTTCTCTGATTTTCATTCAGTAGGGAAGGTAGTTTAAATGCAACAGTTGTTAAAAACTTTTTATTTTGTATTGGGCTATAGCTGATTAACAATATCATGATAGTTTAAGGTGGACCGCAAAGGGGCTCAGCCATACATAAACATTCTTCCCCAAATTCCCCTCCCATACAGCCTGCCACATAACATTGAGCAGAGTTCCCTGTGCTATATGGTAGTCCTTGTTGGTTATCCATTATTAAATATAGCAGTGTATATGTGTCAATTCCAAACTCCCTAACCCTTACCCCCACCCTTCCCCCTAAATGTAACAATTTTGTGATATGTGAATATTATGGATTTCCATTGGATTCTCCTGTCTCCTCTACAGAGTAGATACTCAATAAATGCTTATTGAGTAAATGAAAGAAAATATATTAATTTATTTCAGAAATTTATCATATCTTTCATTGAGATTTTTTCAGTAAAGATCTGCCAAATAGCAGCTTCGGTAGCATATTCTTTGGGAAAGAGGAGGGAAGAATAAAAGAGCTAAGAGTATTTCATTTTCAGCCCATTAGAGTTACTGCTTCAAGCTGTGTTTTAGTCACCTGAGCCATAAGTTAAATGGGAGGGCTGTTGTAATTGAAATATACTTTTTTGTTCTCCAAGGAGATTTACCTAGTTCTCCCACCTCCTCACCTGTTGCTCTGATAAGATTTTCCCTCCTTTTCAATTTATTTCACAAATGTAACAGTTGAAGAAGAAGAAAGAAAAATTACCCACAGTTTTACCCCATCAATTGTCTTTAGTATTCTGTGTTCCTTTCAAGTACTTGTCTACATAAATATATATTCTGATATACCTATAAGTAATCACTCGTAATTTTGTCTTTTGTGTTTTAAGATTCTGGCAGCCAGGCAAGAAAGCTTCAAAGAGATGGTAGGAACAAATGATCTGATGTGAGGATGGAAGAAGGCCAGAAATAGTAAGGGTGGTGATTGAACCTTCCCTGTTTCATCAAGCCAATCCTCAAGCCACCCTAGAGCCATCACAGTTGCAGTGGGCAGCATGCCCAGTTGCAGAGTTTCAGAATGTATTGTTTAACAGTGAGGCTTAACTTGCATTAAATAAAGGGAACTGTGAGTAGGGAAACACTTCAGACTGGTTATATTATGAGCTGTAGAACTGTTGCCATTTTTCTGTTCCCCAGTTGTGCCCATGAAAGAGGTATGTTCAGGCTGGAGACTCAGGCTCAAATGGGGGAACAAAGAGCCAAGGACCAATCTCAGTTTGGTCTGACAGGTGAATTTAATCTACTCCCTAAACTCAGTGTTTGTATCTGTAAGACTGAGAGATACAGATAGTTATGGGACTCCCTAAATTCAGTGTTTGTATCTGTAAGACTGAGAGATACAGATAGTTATGGGAAAAAACCTTTTAGAAAATAGAAGACAACTTAGTGGTTACTCTACTAATGTAATGGAAGTTGCCAACTGAAAAATGAATGCAAAGAAAAACAATGCAGTAGATTGTGTGCCACAAATTTATTATTCAATAAATATTCTGTGGTTTGATGTACAGTATCATATTTTTAACATGCTCTGATTAGAAATCTCCTAAAATATTCTGGAAGACTCCAATACTGTTGAATTGGAAGATATTTGGATTTATTAAGACATATTTGGCCTCAATAATGTCCCTTAGCCACTTTTCTCGAAAGCGAATCATTCCTGGTCTGCAGAGGAAGAAAAACAAACACAACAAAAGCTTTTAAAGGGAAACAAAACACTGAGCCAGGGATCCATTGATTCCCTGTTTACTCTGTTATATTCCTAGTGAGCAAAATGCCTTTTGGGGGTGGGGACAAAGATTGTCTCCATTCCTTAGGCCCAGTCAATAAAAGGGTGAGTTTATATGTAAAGATTCTGTAAGAGAGCTGCTGTACAAATAAAAGGAGTTATTGAATATTATTTATGAGTGAGTTCCATGTGATTGTGAAGTTTCCCATTGAAACAATAGACAGGACCTACTTTGGCCCCACCCTACTCCAGCAACTAACCTCAAGTTGCTAGTCACTGAAAAGCAAGACATTGCAGATAAAATCCATTTTCTAGAACAAAAGCAGAATCTTACTTTCAGCCCATCTTAATGGAGTAGGTGGTCCAAAGAAGAAAAGTGACCATTACATACATTATCTGTCATTGAGGGCTTCCCAAGGTGGCTCAGTGGTAAAGAATCTGCCTGAAATGCAGGAGACTCAGGTTCAATCCCTGGGTTGGAAAGATCCCTGGAGAAAGATTTCCCAGTATTCTTGCCTGGGAAATCCCAGACAGAGGAGTCTGGAGGGCTACACTCCATGGGGTTGCAAAAGAGTGAGACACGATGTAGCAACTAAACAACAGCAACAACAAAACATGCCCACTGGCTTCCTGGAGTGTGATGACCTTGTCCTACTACCCTTTTAAAATCTCTAAATTTTCTTTACCTGTGAACTAATGAATGGCCCTCAAAGACATAAGAGACGTCAATGGGTGTGTCCTAAGAGAAAAAGACAACTGTCAGCCAAGACCAGTCATACCAACTCATGATTCTTTCCACTGCTATATGTATCCATAAATACACTCTTTAATTTCTAGAATTCATCTTCCCTGTGAATTGGAGATCTGTGGGTGGTAGTTCTTTGTCACTTCAAACCTGTGTTCCCCCAAAAGATCTTTTAGGGAATAAATACCCTAAGAGTCTCCACAAAATTGAAAACAAGTCAGGGGAGGCTGTGCTCTCATTACTTAGGAGCATAAGGAAGTCATGTGCCTTCTTTACGTGGTCCAGTTTACTCAGCCAACAGCACCAACTTACCTTGTAGGGACAGCCTAAGAATGAAACTATATAGATGAACACGGTACAAAAACATTTAAAAAATGTCTTTTACAGTTATAATTCTGTCTCAGTGACCCCCATCCAGTGTCCCCTCCAAAATTATACTTGGAATTCTGAGCAAGAGCCTGGCTCCAAAGTCCTCTCTCTGTGTGGTCTCGTTGACCTCCAGCAGCCTCCCTTTCCAATGTTAGAGCTTGCCAGTTAGCAAGATAGCTGATGGTGGACTGTATGACCAGGAGAAATGAGAACTCCTTATAGTCTACCTCTTTAGATCACTCCAGTTCCAAACTCTCCAAATAGGTAAGTTTGTACTAGGATAGGATAAATATAGGACATGGTTGGCTCACTATGGTGTGGTTATCTATAAAGCCTTAGAGTCAGGAGAGCCTCAGATAGCTTGGGAAAGGATGAAGGCAAAGGGGAAATAACACTTTTATGTCTCCTGTATTCCAGGCATCATGGTTAGTACCACCCTGGTTCTAAGGATCCTAACCCTGGATTCATGGGTGTCATTTGGACTCCTTTCACAGCAGCTGTCAACATATTTCATATTCACAGTCAACCTAGTGGTGACAAGCAGTCATTCCTTCAAATACTCAGTGCCAACTATTTGCCAGGTCTTGTTTTACAGCAGCACCAAAATCCCTGCCTTCATGGAGCTTACATTCTGGTGGGGGTGCAGAGTATAACAAGGTAAGAAATTACATAGACGATCAGAAGATGGTAAAGTATTAGGGAGGGAAGGAGGGTTCCAGTCAGATGGAACAGCAAGTACGGAAACCTTGACGTGGGACTCTACCTGGCTTATTGAGGAGTAGCAAGATCAGAGTGACTGGAGCAGAGTAAGTGAAGGGGCAGGGGTAATGGGAAAGCAGAAATAACAAGGGACCAGATCACACAAGGCCTGTAGGCCCTCACTACTCAGGGTGTCGTCTGTGGATCTGCAGCATCAGCAGCTCCTGGGAGCTTCTTAGTAATGCAGAAGCTCAGACCTGCTGAATTTGAATTTTCCTTTTAACAAGATCCCTGAGTAATTCACATGCATTTTGAAGTTGGAGAAGTATGTTGGAACATTGGAGGTGTGACATAACTTCATTTTTCCAAGACTCCCTATGGCTGGCTGAAAAGAGACAGGATGCAGGTAAAGGTGGAAGCAGAAAGACTGGCTAGAAGGCTATTGAAATAACTTTGGTGAGGGATGATGGTGTCTTGGCCCAAGGTGGTAGAGGTGCAGTGGGAAGAGAGGCTTGGATTGAGTGCCTGTTTTGAAGGTAGGGCCAACAGGATTTTCTAATGGATGTGACTGAAAAAGAAGAGTCAAGGAAGATGACAAGGATTTTGGCCATCAGCTGAGATGAGGAAGGCATAGGTAGGTCAGACTTTGAAAGGAAAATCAGAAGTTCAGCTTTGGATACAGTAAGGGAGATGTTTAAATATCCAAGTGACAGAAGTCTGGGCTGGAGACAGAAATTTGGGAATCATAAGCTAGAGGTGGAGCTTCCCTGGTGGTCTAGTGGTTGAGAATCCTCCTGCCAATGCAGGGGACACAGGTTCGATCCCTGGTCTGGGAAGATTACACATACTGCAGAGCAGCTAAGCCCATGCACCCTAGGCCTGTGCTCCGCAGTGAAGAGTAGTCCCTGCTCACCGCAACTAGAGAAAGCTAACACATAGCAACAAAGACCCAATGTAGAAAAAATAAATGTTTTTTAAAAATAAGCTAGAGGTAGCATTTAAATCCACGAGACTGGATAAGGTTGTGCAAGAAATGAGGATAGAGAAGATATCCAAAGGCTGAGTTTCGGGACATGCAAACATGAAGAGGTCAGTGAGAGAAGAGACCAGAGAACCAGTAGAGTAAAAAGTGGTCAGTGAGGCAAGAGGAAAACCAGGAGAGACTGTTGTTGTTCTAGAAGCCAAATGGAACATTTCAGAGAGGAGGGCGTGATCAGTGATGGCAAGTACTACAGATGGGCTCCACCAGATTGAAGACAGAAATATGACTGTTCAGTTTCACAAGGAAGGGGCCATCAATGGCCTTGACATGCGAAGTCTGTTCTCATTGAAGTCTCACTGAAGGGAACAGGGCAGCCAAGGAAGCGCTTACCGGAGGTTTGTTTTTGTTGACCTTGATGGTGAAGTACACACTGGCAGTGCTTTGGGCTATGGGTCTCCGAGCAGTTGGGATGCTCCAACGTACACAGTAGATGTAGTAGAAGCTGTGAAGCACATCTTCCTTCCTTAAAAACTCTGTGTAGTGCTCCCAGTGGCCTTGATACTCCCAATTCTATTTCACAGGAGAGAAGAAAAAGCATACAGAGGAAGAAAAGCAGGCTTCTGTTCAAGTCCTCTCAGTGCACCCCAACCTTTTTGGCACTAGGGACCAGTTTTGTGAAAGACAGTTTTTCCACGGCCAGGGTGGAGGGGGGGATGGTTTGGGGCTGATTCAAGTGCATTACATTTATTGGGCACTTTTATTCCTAATCTAATGCCACCACTGATCTGACTGGAGGTACCTACCGGTCTGTAGCCCACAGGTTGGGGACCCCTGTGATGAAGGCAGCACACAACAGTAGGGATTATAGCCCCACTTCTGGAATCCATTTCTAACCTTTTAGACTGAGGTTCAAACTGTAGTCAACTCTCACTTATCTCCAAGGGTAGAGGAGAGAAAAGGTGGAGCTAAAATGGGAAATAAGCTAACAGTGCAGACATTGCTTGAGATTGGATTTTGAAGTGCAGGGGCGCACACTCAGGTGTGTGTAGATACACACTGCATGCATGTCCACAGTGACCTCCTTCCAGACCCTTACTTGGAAGGCAAGTCTGGTTAATTGGCAAGTAATTAGAAAGTGCTTAGAACATGTGTTCTGCTCACTCCAGGAGACCTAAATGTGTGACTAGGAAGTAATGAGGCTGGGACTTCCCTGGTGGTCCAGTGGGTTAAGACCACCTTCCAATGCAGGGGGATTCAGTTTCGATCCTTGGTCAGGGAGCTAAGATCCTACATGCCTTGTGACCCAAAACAAGACAGAAACAATATTGTAACAAATTTAATAAAGACTTTTTAAAAAAATAAAAGGAAAGTGATGAGGCTGATTTCATCACCTGTTTGGGAAAATCAGACTCACTTCATTGCAGCCCTAGGTGGTAAGTAAAATAAAATCAGAAAAGGAGTAGGTCAGGATCATCCAGATGGCTTGGAGAAGCTTCCCCCTCCAAAGCACACACCTTAATAACACCTCAGGTCCACACAAGTCGTGTTGCACCCTTGAGTCTCAGCACCAGGCCTTGAAAGCCGGAGATATTCATCAAGTTCAACAAACCCCCGTTACTCTGGCTGTTGGGGCACAGAAAGCTTCCAAATTGAAAAAGATCCTAAATTAAGATGAAGGTCCACAGAAGGACGGGAGTAGGATTCTCTAACAATCCCAGTGATATCAGAAGAGAGTTTGGGAGGAGATGGTAAAAAGACTTCAGGCCTTCCTTTAAAAAAAAAATATTGGGACTTCCTTGGTGGTCCAGTGATTAAGAATCCATCTCCCAATGCAAGGGACATAGGTTTGATCCTTGATTGGGGAACTAAGATGCCACATGCTGCAAGGAACCTAAAGCCTGTGCGACTGCATACCACACGAAGAACCCACATGCTGCAACAAAGACCCAGTGCAGACAAAATAATAATAAAAAGAAACAAAAACTGTAGGCTGGTCTTCTGCCTCAGCTGATTTTATTTCAAACTTAAACCCAGTTGGCTGTTAGAGTTGGCCAGAGAGGAACATCAGACTCTAAATTTCTTGAGATCAGGTCTGTGTGTTCTTACACAGATCATTATTCCTTTGAATGAAGGAGTCAACAGTCAACCCTATGAGGACCGTTGGACCATGCCTTTTATTTTCAACCTTTCTGTGTTATACTTGATAAACTTTTTTAGGCCTAATGTTTAATCTGTCACAGAGACTTCTCTGATGGTCCAGTGGTTAAGACTGTACTTCCAATGCAGGGGGTGTGGGTTCAATCCCTGGTCAGGGACTAAGATCCCACATGCCTCTCAGCACAGCCAAAATATTTTAAAAAATAATCTGTCACACAGTCACAGGCTCTGTAGCATTGGAGTGGTCCCTAAAGATCATCTAACAGAGCCCCTTGCTTTGCACATGAGGATCCCGGGACCTAGAAATAGGAAAGGACAAACAAAACAGCTGGAACTGGGACCCAGGCTCCCAGGCAGCCAGCTCAGTGCTCTCTCCACCCCATCAGATGTCTCAGCTCTAGGATATTCTAAAGCGGGCTTAGACACAGTAAATTCAGCTGTCTCCATCAAGCCAATCTCTCCCCATTTTTATCTCTATGCTGTGAGTGTGTGTTATCCCATGTTTTGTCATTTTTACATAACATTGCTTTATATACTCACTTCCAGGAAAAGAGTATCTCATTGTTCTATTCTGCCATGTATGGCTTAGACAATAACATACTATTGGACACTCAAAATCAACAGGCACCTGGAAGTATATGCACAAAACTGTTATCCCTGGTAAGTGACATCTGAGGGAGTAGAACTGGATATTGTAGGGATAGAAGGGGGTTTTCATGTTCTACTTTGTGTCTTTTTGCTCACTGAGTTTTTTTTAATAATGATTTCTTAATTTTATTATGAAAATATTGTAAGTGTGTGATAGGCATGAGGGATTTTCCAGGTTTTCTTGTATAAAGAACTTCTTTGTGTATTCTTGGGACTTCTCAGTGGCCAAGTGGTTAAGACTCCATGCTGCCCACTGTTTATAATAGCCAGGACATGGAAGCAATCTAGATGCCCATCAGCAGACGAATGGATGAGGAAGCTGTGGTACATATACACCATGGAATATTACTCAGCCATTAAAAAGAATTCATTTGAATCAGTTCTAATGAGATGGATGAAACTGGAGCCCATTATACAGAGCGAAGTAAGCCAGAAAGATAAAGACCATTACAGTATACTAACACATATATATGGAATTTAGAAAGATGGTAACGATAACCCTATATGCAAAACAGAAAAAGAGACTCCGATGTATAGAACAGACTTGTGGACTCTGGGAGAAGGCGAGGGTGGGATGTTTCAAGAGAACAGCATCGAAACATGTATATTATCTAGGGTGAAACAGATCACCAGCCCAGGTTGGGTGCATGAGACAAGTGCTCGGGCCTGGTGCACTGGGAAGACCCAGAGGGATCGGGTGGAGAGGGAGGTGGGAGGGGGGACCGGGATGGGGAATACATGTAAATCCATGGCTAATTCATTTCAATGTATGACAAAAACCACTGCAATGATGTAAAGTAATTAGCCTCCAACTAATAAAAATAAATGAAAAAAAGAAAAAAGAAAAAAAAATAAATAAATAAAAAGAATCAAGAGTTAACATAAAAAAAAAAGACTCCATGCTGCCAATGCTGGGGGCATGGGTTCAATCCCTGGTCAGAGGACTAAGATCCCACATGCCATGCAGTGTAGCGAAAAGATAAAAATAAATTTTAAAAAAATTTTTAAAAAGAACTGCAAAAAAAAAAAAATAAAAAGAACTGCTTTGTGTATCCTTGTTACCACATTGCATTACTGAAGAAAATAAATCAGTGCTGCCCACTGGCAGTGTATAAGTGTACCCATTTTTCCCTTCCCACAAACACACAAGCCTTCTGATACCAGATTGAATCATTCTTATTCACATTGTAATACCTTAAAATCTTTTGAATTTGCATTTTTCATTGATAGTAAACTGTATTATTTTTGGCATCAAAAAGGACTCTTCTTATTACAGTGAGAAAAGTATATCAGATAGACCTACAGTCAAAACCTCATTTTGCTGATTAATCAGGAAGACTTTGGACAAATTGCCCAACCTCTGTGACCCTCAAGTTTCATCATCTGTAAAATGGGTACACTGAGGTACCCATACCCAAGTTTTTTGTGAGGATTAAATGAGATAATGCATGTGAAATGCTTAGTGGTGCTTGGCACATTGCAGTGCTCACTCAGTAAATGGTAATAACTCCTAATTTGCCATCCCCTGGTGTGTGGTGAACTCTAAGAAATCTGCAGTAAGCTTGAGAAAGCTCTCCATTAGAAGTGCCTGGCACTTAGATGGTAGACTTTACTTCTAGGGCTTGCTGCATTAGTAGGACTGGAAATGGTGGTTTTATGTCAGGAGTTACATAGAGCTGCTAGCTTTTCCATCACCTTCTACTTTCTAATTTGTCTCTGTCCTCACAACAGTCCTACCAATGAGTAAGACAAATACTTTGACTTAGCTTTTCATCTGTGAAGAAATAATGGCACAGAGAATAAATCTGTTCATATATTCAACACATATTTATAGAGCTTCTACTCTGGTGACTCAGCTGGTAAAGCATCTGCTTGCAATGTGGGAGACCTGGGTTCGATCCCTGGGTTGGAAAGATCTCCTGAAGAAGGGAACAGCTACCCACTCCAGTATTCTGGCCTGGAGAATTCCATGGACTATACAGTCCATGGGGTCACAAAGAGTCGGACACGACTGAGCGGCTTTCACTTTCACTACCATGTACCTGACCTTTCTAAGGCCTGGGGACATGACAGTGAACAAAAATCTCTGCCCTCATGGACCATGTGTTCTGATGGCGGATAAAGGCAATAGGGTAAATAAAATCTAATATCCTAGATAGAGCTGAGTTCTGATGGAAAAGAAAGAAGTCAGAGGAGAAATGGGTGCAATTTTAAATCAGGTGGCTGGGAAAGGCCTCAGTGAATAAGGCATCTTAACAAAGACCTGAAGAGAGGGAAAACGTGACCCATGAGAGTAGATCTCAGGGGAGAGGGAACAGCAAGTGTAGAGACCCTGAGGTGGGAGCATGCCTGGCAGTTCAACTGCAAGTACAACTTGGATGAGAAAGGTGACCAGGGAGAAGGTGGTAGGTGATGGAGTCTGAGCAGTCAGTTGGGAGGAGGTGGGGATGGAGACTCTGATCACATGGGGCCCTGTAGCCCAGGCAGGACTGACTAGCCTTTTACTCGGGACCAGTAGGATCTCCAGAGGCACGTTTTCCTGCTTGTTCTCTGTCCCATTCAGTCTAATTCATAAACCCTGGGTGCAGCAGGCAGAACCTTTGGCCCAAACCCAAATGGAAGATGTTCTCCGAGTGGGAAGGCCCAAGGGGAACCAGAACTTTGCACCATTTGTCTTCATTGTGTTCCTGGTACCCCTTGCAATGGCAACAGCAGTCGTGCCGCTGGATCACAAATGGAGGGTGTGGAGTCCCAAACCCCTGACCTTTCCTCTTTCCCACTTGACTGGGGCCTTCCTGGGCCTGGGAAAGTGCCCTTAGGCCAGAAGGCTTGGATGGACTGACCAGAGGAACAGAGACAGCTGGACACTTCTTCCAGGCTCCAGGAGTTTGTCTCCACCAGTTTCACCTGGTTTCTCTTCAAGGAAATTGAGTGGGGGTTTCAGACCAGTCTTCTTCCTCCACCCCGCCAGTACGCAAAGCAACCCAGGGCCTTCTTCCCAGAGCTGCCAGGATAAGCCCTACAAATAGGTCAGAGCCAGGACCAGGAGGAAAAAGAAAAGGAGTTAGGAGCATGTCCATCTGACGGTACAGTGAACACATTCCAGAGCTAAGTCAAAACACTTTGTGATCTCTCTACATCCCGTCTGTTAACGTGAGAACTCTAGAGCTGGGACTACAGAACCCCTGTTTTTAGAGAGGCATCTCCCTCCTTAGAAAGGCTTCCCAGTGGCTCAGTGATAAAGAATCTGCCTGCCAATGCAGGAGATGCAGGTTCGATCCCTGGGTTGGGAAGATCCCCTGGAGAAGGGAATGGCAACCCATTCCCATAATCTTGCCTGGGAGATCCCATGGGCAGAGGAACCTGGTGGGCTACAGCCCACAGGGTCGCACAAATCAGACACAACTTAACAACTAAACAACAATTCCTTCTTAGGCCATTAGGCCCCCATTTGGGGCAGTGGCATGGGGAAATTGCTTAGCTGAGAATATCTGATTTTCTTAGGGAAGTGTACGGTGAAGACAATACAAACACTGGGAAATACGATTGTGCTGTTCACCTTCAAAGACTATCCCATCTTGATTTTGAAATCCAGATGAGACAGCTTTTATTTATTCAAGTCGCCTGTGGTATCATCACTTAGGCTTCCTAGCAGGACTTCCAACTTTTCATCACAGAGGAGTCTTTTTGTCATTCTTCGCCCTTGTGTGCAAAGCTGGAGTGGCCAAAGGACTTACCGAAACAAACTCCTCAACTTGCTTACGGCCCTTTTCTTCTGTGAATTCACCGTGGGTGATCCAGTCGATATTTCTGACGGGGTTTTCAGCTTCTGCAAACAGAGTATGAATGTATTAGTTACCTCCTAGTGGAGCACTACCTAATGAGACCATAGGCACCCAGACAGGTTTGCTACCTTCTACAGACTTGACAGCAGCAGTGATGGCATCCTTGGCTAAAGTTAGAGCTATTTCTGTTATGTCTTGAGGGTCTTCTTTGGCCATTGCCTGGCTTGTGGAACCTTTATCTTCATTTGCTTCCTTCTCAAACTTGACTCTTTTGGTCACATTCATTTTCTTTTCACTGGAAAAAGAAACTCAAGAAGTTACTTTGTGTGTGTGTGTGTGTGTGTGTGTGTGTGTGTGCATGTGTGTGCACATGCCTGTATAAACTCATCTTAAGTACAGACTATCTATTGAAGAATCACAAGACACAGGAAACAGTTGTTGCCTCTAGGGAGGGTATTAGGTGTTAGGGTAGGAGGGGTCTCGCTGTTTACCTTCTGTGCCTGGATGCTGAGATCCACTATTCCTGAAAACCAAGGATTTTCTGATTCTCATAACCATGAAGACTTAAGTCAAGGAAGGTGTAGCCAAATGACTCCTAACTTCCTTATAGTTCTAACAGTATTGATTTCTAGTTGAGTCTTTATTAGAACTTCAACCCCCAGGTTTCCCTGGTGGCTCAGTGGTAAAGAATCCACCTGCCAATGCAGGAGATGCAGGTTCGATCCCTGATCTGGGACGATCCAACATGCTGCAGAGCAACTAAGCTCCTGTGCCACAACTATCGAGCCTGTGACCTAGAGCCCAGGAGCCGCAACTACTGAGCCCATGTGCTGCAACTACCGAAGGCCCTAGAGCCTGTGCTCTGCAACAAGAGAAGCCACCACAATGAGAAGCCCGTGCAGTACAACAAAGAAGAGCCCCCACTTGTAGCAACTGGAGAAAGCCTGTGCAGCAACGAAGACCCAGCACAGCCAAATATAAATAAAATTATAAAACAACAACAACTTCACACCCTGCTTTAGGCTACTGAGGGCATGTGGCTCTTTGAAGATAAAGTGAATTAAAAGGATTAGAGGCAGTACAGTAGAGGAGGGGTTTGCTTTTCAGTTTTTCTCCTCTTGGATTTTCCAGATATGCAATTATCTGTCAGAAACTTTTCTTTTCTTTTGCCATCTCTTCCCCTGCAATATATAAGTGTTAGCTTTGGGTAACACTTCCAGAAAAATGGAAAGGAAACGAGATAGTGGCTTCTTTTGCTTCAGGCTTCAAGGGGTGTGCTTTTCGGTGTGGCACCAGTAAGTATGATGCTGGCTCAGAGCTTGAAATTTGTTAAGAAAATATTTGTCTGCTCCTATTTTAGTAAGATGTTTGTGTGTGTTAGTCACTCAGTCGTGTCTGACTCTTTGAGACCCCATGGACTGTAGCCCACCAGGCTCCTCTGTCCATGGAATTCTCCAGGCAAGAATACTGGAGTGGGTTGCCATTCCCTTCTTCATGGGATCTTCCTGACCCAGGGATCGAAGCCACATCTCATGCATTGTAGACAGATTCTTCACCGTTTGAGCCACCAGGGACATCCAAGATGTTTGTAAGAGATAATTAAATTTTTCCAAGTGTGTTTAACACTTGTCCAGATTGTGGAAATTGGTTATCAGGACTGTAAAGGGTTCATCACAGAGCTAGAAGTCTTTGCACATTTTCCATTTTTCCCCTTGAGTCTTGGAGTCTTTCTTTCCCTGCTGTGCTGAAGTCTCCTCACTGAGGTGCACTCACTTCTAACATAGCTATAAACCCCCTGCAGGCAATCCCTGCTTGGCCAGTGCTGCCTGAAAGTGGCTCTCTCGCTCCTAAGGGAGCTATTTATTTCTCTATAAATAGCAACTCCCAGTTTGGGGGGTTTAATGTGCCTCATTCCATTTGGCTCTCAGCACGGCTGTGAGATCATGGCTGGACATCTATCTTGTGCCTTCCAGGCCCACTTTCCCCACCTCCCCTGCTCTCCAGCCAGGAACACTGACCTGCTGGGACTGTAACAGTGGGCTGTCCCGTGCCCTCTGGCTTCCAGGAGGTGCCACACAGTGGGGAGATGAGGCTGAAAGGAGAGTGAGCTCCAGGCAGGTATTCCCCTGGGGCTCTCCGCCTCCCGGGTCACCCCTGACTGGCTGCCTGAGGAGGTGGCCACCAGTCCCAGGGCAGCTCGCTCACTTCTCAGTCTGGTGAGGGTAACCATCCTCTCCCCTCAACATCATGGCCCCACTGTTACCAGCCCCAAGGAGCCGTCCTCACCCTCCTTTCCCTACCCTCTGCCCATACCTTTGTAAATATTCCCTTTACTTAACCCTTCTCTCCGACTTTCTGTGTGCCAGCAGTTTCCCCACTGGGGCCCTGAGTCATAAAAAGAGGGACTCTAGTTACCACATGAACCAGGAAGCCAACCTCACATCAGGCCATCCAGCTCCACAGTCCGCCTCTCCTCCACCTTGCCTTCCTCCCTCCCCTCCACGCTTCACAATGAGTGATGACCTCATCGCTGTGAGCCTCTTTCAAGAAGATCATCCTTTGTTCCCTTTCTGGACATCATCACTGGTCCCAGGCTGTGGTGGGTGCTGTACTAGGCAATCCAGCTCCCCTGGCTGCAGTGGAGGGGCAGACAGGGTCATCCTTTGGGGGAAAATGGAATCTTCCCAGGCAGCCCATCCCAGAGTGAGGAGGGAGTGAAGGGTTGGGGTAAGGGTGTCTGGAGGCCCTTAGCCCACAAGAACTGGCTCTCCCACCCCGAGGCCCATGCCAATTTGGCCAAAGCAGTTTGTCATAAACCCCATCCAGCAACATGATCCTTCAGAAAATTGCCCATTTGGCTACTTGGTCATTCGGTGACTTGACTTTCAGTAAATTGCCTCTTGATGAATTGATTGGAAGCCAAATCTGTGCCCTTCAAACCCAGCAAATTAGTTGGGGCCTTGTCTATAGAAGGACCCCAGGAGCCCTGTGCTCCAGTGGGGAACAGGCCTCAGGAGGCAGTTCCCATCTTATCCTCACATGCCTGTGGACCACAACCCAAAGCCTCCCTCCCACCGGCCTCGCCTAGGTCTTTCTCCTCCTCCCCTTCCTAATGTGAGGCCAGAAGGCAGAATGGCTGTGAAGGGCCAGGGTCAAGTTTGAGGTGTGAGTGACGAATGGGGAAAACAAGTGCAGGCCCCTTTTGCAGAGCCCTCCCATCCTTCATAACCCTCAATACCTCTGTGACCGGATCATTTTGTCCTGGATCCTCGTATGAAACAGCAGCGGTCTGGGAAGCCTCAGAAAGTCGCTGGGCAGCTTTTCCCCAGGCTTCCTGGCTGGAATGTTTACACCTGCTACCAGGGCAACACCAATTTCAGCCAATAAGAACCAAAGCCCAAATGATTGACGACTTCTGTTAGTGAGAGAGGGGCTAGTGGGGTCACAGCAGCAGTCTGACCTGTGGATCAGGACTAGGCTGTCCTGTCCACGCTAGCTTCCCCCCAGCAGGTGGACTTGCAGGGCTGCGCAGGAGTAGTGAGCCTCGCAGCTAGTATATATACTGGGAGTCCTTATTGTGTGCCAGTCACTGGGAAGTGCTACATCACAATAGCCCCAAGAAGTAGGTGTTGGTGTTTTCATTACAGTTGAGCAGGGGCACAGAGTGTATTACATAAGTTGGCTAAAACTCAAACCCAGAGCTGTCCACCTTCATTGACTGAGCTTTCACTTATTTATTCCCAACTTCTGAGGTTAGGATCTCCCTTGTGTGCCCGATTGTTTTCAAAGATGTCTTTTATGAATCTAGGATGAGCTTATATGGTAATGGTTATCAGCACATACCCAGGAACAATTTACTTAACATTTCTTAGTTTGTCTATAAAATGGGGATGACAGTGCCTGCAGAATCCTCTTAATGAGGATCAAATCACAGTTTTACAGAAAAGGCTGAGAACAGTGCTTGGTACATCAGAGCCAAGGCAGAAGGAGGGCTCATGTGGACACTGCCATTGGGGAGCACAGAGGCTCCTGAGCTATGAAAACGCTGGATGATGAGGACCGGCCTGGGTTCTGTTTGTTGATCTGACTCCCATACAGCCCATCAGACCAACTGCCATGAACCTTCTAGTGCCTCAGCAGGCCCTGATCCACAGCCCTGCCCTCCTCCTGGGTTCCCTGGGAGAAAGAGGGGGAACTGGAAACACTGGGCGCGGTCGCAGCTGCACTCCAAAAGGACAGAGCTCCAGCCACCTGTATGCGGCAGGGGCGGCAAGACCTAAGAAGCCCTGGGACCACTGGTGCGAGGCCCAGGGTGAGCATGGAAGGGTGGGCAGTGGGATTCTTAACTGCCCAGAGGAGACGTGCAATCCACCAATGAGACGCTCTTAGAAGGTAAAATATTCTTGCGGGGAGCCCGGAAAGATTTCCCAGCCGATTAGAAAGGCTCCTCTTTGAAGCAGAAGCTTCAAGTGGGTGGCCAGAACGTCACCGTCTACCCCCAGCCAAGCCCCTCACTGAAGCGACAAATTCTGGCCTCTGGGCCTAAGAGATTGAGAGACCTTTTGAACCCTCATCAGCAATGAGGACAGGGACTTCCAAACCATGCCCTCCTCGGATGCCTCCTCCCCAGGTGGCACCGCATTAGAGTGTTGGGAGGGCCGGGGTGGGGGTGGGGGTTGGAAGTGGGGGGCGCAGATGGGAGAGAAGCAGGTGGGGCAGGAGGAGAAGGAGCAGGAAATAAGCCTCTGGCAGTTCCCCTCTCACACACCCCTGTCCCCAAGCTCGTGCCCTGGAGGCGGGGCCGGGCCCCGGGAGAGTGGGGCAGCGCCTGCTCCAGCCGTGTGCCAGCCTGCGCCTTCGAGAACATGGAGCCTGTGTGCAAAGACATGCCCCGCGGCCCCGCTCAGGGCCCTTCTAGACCCTGTGGGCAGCCTGGTGAGTGTGCGCGGTCTGCTCGCGGGGGGCCCTGGACACGGGGTCATACGGGGTCTGAAACGCGCTGTCTCTGGCTTGTCCCTTGCTCCAGCCAGGGGAGGGAGAAGGGGCGAGGTCTCGCTTGCCCCGCGTGTGGAAAGTGGAGTGAATTGGTACCCAGGATGTGGTGCTCAGTAGGGGGTGTTGCTTTGGTCGCTGTCAGCTTCTTCCTGATTTGAGGACAGTTAGGGGAGGAATAAGTTGGGGAAGGGGGGCAGAAGCGGGCAGGGGGTCCCGCAGGGGCAGTGGGCATCAGTACAGGAGAAAGGACAGCCACACCCTGGGCCTTGGTTTTTCTTCCTTCCCACCTGTAACCTGTTGAGGCTTGTCCCAGGCCACAGGTGCGAGGCCTTGCAACAAGGCCACAGAATCGAAGCCCAGAACCAAGAACACCTCCCAAGCTGACTGAGCCCCTTTGTAATGGTTGCCAAAAGCCCCCTTGATCCTCACTAACAAGTTCCTGACTCCCAATTAGGCCAAGGTGCCCACTCCACTAAACACCCCATAGCGCCCCAACCCATCACCTAATGCCAGCCTTCCAGCAGGAATTTTGTCTTGAGGCTATAAAAATTGGCTATGAACTCACGAAAACTGTCAGCTTTCTCTCCTCTGTCAGGAGGTTGTCCCACTGCATTCACAGTACCCACATTATCTCTTGCTCTTTGTTTTTAATAAAAACTCACTCCCTTCTGAAATGTCCTGTGTCTGGAAATTCTTTTCCAACCCCCGATCAGACAGCCTCAACATAGCCCTCAGTCATGTTCGTTTCCTCTAACCTCCTGCCCTCACCTCTCCTGGTACCTTCATGCTCAGCCTGTCACCCGCTTCCCTTGTTTACCTTCTTACTCCCCCAACCCCAGCCGATGCCCCACAAGGCTGTTCTCAGAGATGAAGCTCATGCTATATGCTGACAATCCCCTGGCAAGTGATCCCAGTCAGCTAGCACCGGTCTTCTGAGGACTGCAAGGCCCTGAGGTGAAGTGAAGCTGAAACAAGTTTCCCACCCTCAGTGCACCTACAGTCTAGTTGGGAGGATAAACTGTGCTCACCTTACAAGAGAAGCAGTGAGTCAAATGTAGCAAGGCACCATGGGTTTGGGGAGCTTCTCAGCAAGTGTGGCTGACTGACTTCACTTCCACCATGAAAGGCCTGACCAGACTGTCCCCAGAAGGGAGAGAAGGTGATAGGAGCTCAGGGCCTTTCCTAAATGGAGGGCTGTTCTTCATCCATAAAGGCCACACACCCTGTGTACTGTGCCTGTCAGCCCCAGGTGGGCAGACCCCTGAGGGCTGTGATGTCACAAAGACCTCTTGCAATATTCCAGTGGTCCTTGAGCATGCAGGTCTGCCATTGGGGGAGTGCCTCATTGAACAGCTTCCTGCTCAGAACACAAGTCCTATGGCAGAACTGTTCCCAGACGGCTGGCCTTTTGATGGGGATGCCTAGATGGTCATTCCCACATTGGGCTGCCCTTAACAGACACTGGATGAAAACTCCAGAGTTGCCCTAGAGACCTGACCCAGCTTGATCCAAAGACTAGGCTCTTAAACTTAAGAGATGGGAGTGGGCTTCTGGGGGCCTGCACTGTTTTCTGGCCTCTAGAAACAGAGTATTAAGCCTAAAAGGAAAACAATCTGTCTGCTAAGTGAAACAGACATTCCCCCAGTCGTGTGGTAGGTGGCACATAGGGGGACAGGCAGGTATGCCAAAGAAAATCTTAAAACACACAGGAAAGATTCTTGTTTTCTTGGGGGCAAGTGACACTCAGTGTTTCCATTGTCTTCCCTTTTCTCCTACTGCCTTCGGCTTTACAGTTATTTGGTGTCATAACTGAAATTGCATACTTGTTGGACTTACCTGGTGGCACAATGGATAAGAATCCCCCTGCTAATGCAGGGGACATGGGTTTGATTCCTGGTCCAGGAAGATTCCACAGGCTACGGAGCAACTAAGCCTGCAAGCCACAACTACTGAGCCTGCATGCTGCAACTACTGAAGCCCGTGTGCCCCAGAGCCTATGCTCTACAACAAGAGAAGCCACTGCAATGAAAGCTTGTGCACTTCAACTAGACAGTAGCCCCTGCCTGCCACAACAAAGACCCATTTAAGCCAAAAATAAAAAAGTTAAAAAAAGAAATTGCATACTTGTTTGTAAATTTTATTTCCCGACCACCCTCTAACCCATATAATTGATTTTTCCATGTTTTCTGGAATTGAGGGAGACACCTGCTACGAAACAAAACAACAGATGAAACAAAATGTCTGCAAACAAATAAAGCAGTATTTACATGGGTTAACACAAGTCAGATCTTCTAGGCCATTTTCTCAATGATACCCTGAAAAGAACAATTAGGTCTTTAGTCCTCAGTCAAGATTTGTGGAAATCCCCAAACTGGTGATTTGGCTCTTTATTGCCAAAGAGACTTTCGGGGTGGCCAACAGCATCAGACACATAGGACACGCAAATATACCAAAGAAATCTTTAACGATGAAAGATTATGCAAACATAGCCTTGGATTGATTCTTTCCAGAAATGTCCTCATCTTTTCTTTTCTCAACTGTGCACCAAACTGTGAAGGTCCTAAGAACATTCTCTTCCCCAGCTCAGACTCTACTCCAGCTTCATCTGGGAAGCATAAGAAGAGCATATCCCAAAAAGAGCATTCCCGAGTATGCCAACCTCAGAGGTGAGCTATTTGGTCAGGACCATGTGGATGTGGCGGGGGGAGGAAGGCAGCATTATACCAGCACACAGAGACTCAAATCAAGAAGTTGAATGCTAGTGTCTTTCAAAGTGAAAGTCACTCAATCATGATCAATTCTTTGCGACCCCATGGACTACACAGTCCATGGAATTCTCCAGGCCAGAATAATGGAGTGGGTAGCCATTCCCTTCTCCAGGGGATCTTCCCAACCCAGGGATCGAACCCAGGTCTCCCACCTTGCAAGTGAATGCTTTACCAGCTTAGCCACCAGGGAAGTCAATGTCTTTAGACACACAAAATCTGCATCAACACACTTGGGAAAGAAAAACCTCTATAATCGTTCCGTATGTCTTGTGTGTCACAAAGGTGTGAAAGTACAAAAGTGTAGTAGAATAATTTTGAGTTCTCAGGTCACAAAAGCATCAGAATGATGTGAAATCTTGAAAACAAAGTGATGTTTAAGTCTCCCCCTCACCCCGAAGTTTCCTGCTGAGGACGACCAGCTTCAGTCCCATCCAGTCACCACCTTCCCCTGAAACAGAGCAGGCAGCATCTACCTTGAGGGGTAAACCAGGACCTGGATTCACACAATGGCAGGAAAATTGCATCTTTCTCTCTTTCAGAACACAACTTCAGAGCAATTCGTGTCCTTATCAAGGTTAGTACCATCTTTGCTGCAGTGTTCTGTGAACCCCCAGACTGTAATCACTGGTTCCAAGAGAGACGCCAAGACTGCTGCCACTGCCTACACCTGGTTACACACTGGGTCTGAGGGTCCTCCCGACACCACATTTGGGTGACTTTGGGGGAGCTGGGGGCAGACTAGACAGCTTCCACAGGCACAAGGCCATCCAGTTAGAAACTACTCCACAGACACGATGTCCTGATAGCCAGAGATACCCAGGGATGGGTGCAGAGCGCCGACCATCCTCCCTTAAAAGATAGGAGATCTGAGGCTCAGAGTAGTGAAGTGACTTGCCTGAGGTCACACAGCTGACAGGGGGCAGAGCCTCCTGATGTGCTGGTACCCTCGGTGTTCCCAGTCTCCACAGCCCTTCGGAAAAGAATCGGTTTGTTCTTCGCCCTTCTTGACCTGAGATGCGTCACTCGTGGTGAGCTGGGATACACCTGTGGGAAAACAAAAGTCTCCGAGGATGGGATACAGCTCAGGTTTACAGATGAGCAGAAGGAGAACCCCTGCTTCTCAAGTGATACTAGTGGTAAAGAACCCACCTGCCAATGCAGGAGATGTAAAGAGATGCAGGTTCAATCCCTGGGTGGGGAAGATCCCCTGGAGGACGGCATGGCAACCCACTCCAGTATTCTTGCCTGGAGAATCCCATGGACAGAGGAGCCTGGCAGGTTACAGCCCCTGAGGTTGCAGAGTGGGACACGACTGGAGCAACTTAGCATGCACGCACGAGGGAGAATCTGGGATCCGAACTTGAATGAAAAAAAAGGACGAGGAACAGGAGGAAGAAGCCATGTTGCTTGATGGAGACCTGGCTGTTTTCAGGGTTTCTGTCTCAGCAGTGTTGATGTCATCATGGACTTCTAAAACCGCCCTGGGAGGGCCAGCCCCTGCGCTCAGGCTGTTGAGGAGGGTTGCCGGCCTCTGGCCACTAGATGGCAGTAGCATCTCCCCAGACTCCCCGGGAGATGGTGAGCCCGTCTCCAAAGTTTTGTCCACTATCTTTTTTTCCTCACAAATATTTCACTTAAGTGTTTCCCAAACAAAGGGTAGGGCCATCGTCTTCCTCTCCCTTCTGAAAGCGTATGGCTTCCTCTAACCTTTTTCAAAGTCTTTTCTTAGTGACGATTTCATTTGACCCTAGAAATAATGATGGCAGCCTGGTAAATATAATTTCAAAGAAGAACCATTCTTCCAAACAAGTAACAGAGGTAGAATATGTGTCAAGCGTTACCATCACAGAAGACAGAAGAACATGTGTTTATTTTTCTACGTGTCCCTAGGGACAAAACTCGCCCTGGCCGTGCAGTCGGTGCTCCGCAGAGCAGCCCCGCAGACAGAGGCAGGTCCCCACCTCACTCTCCTGCCTGCCGCCTGCGGAGCTCCCAGCTGCCCCGGAGAAAGTCCAACACCCGCGGGAGACAGATCAGCCTCTCCATTCTCTCTTCCCTCTCCTTCCTGCCTCGCCCTCTTTGCTCTAGTTCTGCACAACGACTTGTGGCGCTTTCCCACGCAGCCATGCTAGTGTGATGTGCCCACACTCATGCTTTTTTTCTCACCTCAGTTGCTTATCTCCTAAATGCTCCCCAACCTTCAAGACTTGGGTTTGGTGTGGGCATCACCTGGAACTTACCTGAAGCCCTTTCCCTTCCCCCCATCCGAAGACTGGGTCAGGCCCCCGCTCTGTGCTGGCAGCACTTTCTGCAGACCTGTCACAGTATTCAGCACCCCATCCTGTAATGGCCTTGCAGTCCTACTGACTGAAGGGCAGGGCTGTGTCTTGTTCACATCTGGGGCATAGTGCCTGGTGTGGCATTCACTCAGCAGGGTTTAGAGAAAAGAAAGCGAAAGCCACTCAGTCCCAAGACTCTTTGTGATCCCATGGACTATACAGTCCACGAAATTCTTCAGGCCAGAATACTGGAGTGGGTAGCCTTTCCCTTCTCCAGAGGACCTTCCCCACCCAGAAATCAATCCCAGGTCTCCTCCTGCACTGCAGGTAGATTCTTTACCAACTGAGCTATCAGGGAAGCTCAGATAAAAGGGTTTACTGAAGTGAGCCACAAAGACTAAAAGCACATGAGGTTGAGAGTCAAGACACCAGGATTCTAGTCCCTAGGTCTGCTTCTAGCTAGCCAGGTGACTGCTTCCCATCCCTGAACCAGTTTCCTCATCTGAAGAATCAGAATTTGGACTAAATGTCTAAGGGTCTTTATAAGTTGGAATTGCTGATTCTAGAATGTCTTTTTTCCCCATAAATATTTCACTTGTTTCCCAAAGGGTAGGGCCATCATCTTCCTCTAACCTTTTTCAAAGTCTTTTCCTAGTGACGATTTCATTTGACCCTAGAAATAATGATGGCAGCCTGGTAAATATTTCAAAGAAGAACCATTCTTCCAAACAAGTGACAGAGGTAAAATATGTGTCAAGTGTTACCATCACAGAAGACAGAAGAACATGTGTTTATGTTTCTACGTGCATAGAAACCCTTCAGGGTAGTGTGACAGTGGGGTAGGTGATGGGCAGGGAACTGGAACAAAGACTTTTCATTGAATAACTTCTATTGTTGGATTTTTGAGCTATGTATGGTATCTATTTTAAAAATTAAAGATAAAGAATAAAACCATATGTATAAAATCAGTTACAAGGACGCCTTGTACAGGACAAGGAATATAGCCCATATTTTATAACTATAAATTGAGTATAACCTTTAAAAATTGTGAATCACTTTGTTGTATACATGAAACATATAATATTGCACATCAACTATACTTCAATCAAAAAGGTAATAAAACCAAATGAATGGCATCGTTAACCAAATGTCCTTTCAATTGGCCTTAAAAGCAGGTGAGTAGTGAATCTGAGGTCAGTAGCCAGATCACATCTGTCAGAGCTGCTGTAAGAAAACCCTTCTGGCTAACTGCACTTTCAAAAAAATCAAGAGAAACATGGGCTGCAAAGCATCACTATAGTCTTCTGGCTTCAAAGTGTTTTAATCTGGTTCACTCCCTGGCAGTAGAGTATAAAAATAAGGCTAAATTTCATAGCAAGTGCTACCAAAAAGGGAGTTGAAGAATTCAGATGCTAATGCTGAACCTGACCAACTGATTTCTGTCACTTTGCAGCTCCTTGCTGTGACAAGCCCTGACATTTATCCAAGGATGAATCTGCTAGTGGATGGGCCCCACCTAGAGGCCCATGGACAGAGAACAGACCTAAAAATCAATACATTTAGTGACAGATTTAGTAATGTTAAGTCTCCTGTATTCCTCTCTGTACTACCTGCCGTCTCTCTTCCTTTCCAGATAGTTCTCACAACAATCATAAAATGAGCCCTGTATAATAGCATTAAATAAAGACCAGAGGTTGTATTAAATTTGTAATCATGACCACAGCTTTCCTTTAAAGTGGCACAATATAGAGTATTCCTCGGAGTGTGACCGCCACCTCTGTCCTCTGTAAGCCCTGTCCTCTAAGATGAGGTCAACAGAAGCCATACAGTGCAGGTTTGTTTAAATTCATCAGCAGATCAAATGTTAAACTAGATAAAAAAAAAACCTGTTGTTGTTGTTTAGTTGCTCAGTCATGACTGACTCTTTTGTGACCCCACAAACTGTAGCCCACCAGGCCCCTCTGTCCATGAGGTTTCCCAGGCAAGAATATTGGGATGGGTTGCCATTCCCTTCGAGGCAATGGCACCCCACTCCAGTACTCTTGCCTGGAAAATCCCATGGACAGAGGAGCCTGGTAGGCTGCAGTCCATGGGGTCGCTAAGAGTCAGGCACAACTGAGCGACTTCACTTTCACTTTGCACTTTCATGCACTGGAGAAGGAAATGGCAACCCACTCCAGTGTTCTTGCCTGGAGAATCCCAGGGACAGAGGAGCCTAGTGGGCTGCTGTCTATGGGGTTCAACAGAGTCGGACACGACTGAAGCGACTTAGCAGCAGCAGCAGCCATTTCCTTCTCCAGGGTATCTTCCTGACCTGGGGATTGAACCTGCATCTCCTGCGTTGGCAGGTGGATTCTTTACCACCTGGGAAGCACCAGATAAAAGATGGAGAAGAAAGGTAACTTAATTTTCTCACCTAGAGGTTCCCTGGTCACCTGGGGTGTTGATCTGTATATACACGGATTATCACCTTCTTCACAGTAGTTACACCTTTTCAGATTTTAATATTATCTGGTTACCTTTAGCACTGGACATGCAATTCTTTATTTCAAATATATTCATTTTAATAAACATAATCGTTGTTGCTGCTCTACATAATAAGCTAAAATAAGAATCAACACTTTAGTGACTACTATATGTGGATACAGGATGCACGGACGATGAAGGTGCAGTCTGGAATTTTAAGCATATAGGGATTCACCCAGAAAAGGAAAGAGGAAAAAAAGTACTACTTTTTCTATATTCTTCTAGCAATCTCCGAAGAAACACTGTTTTCCAATATTTTAATATCTACTACAAGAGTAGGAACTACCTTTGTGACACATAATGCGCTAGGCAGTTATTGGTGCTTGGTGTATATTACAGCTGTAATTTTACAAGCCTCAGTTGCCTTCTAGTTTTTCTTTAAGTGATAATGCTATATCGGGTAGACGTCTTGATCTTGGGTAGTACTATTTTAAAAAGTAAAGAAAACCTCTGATTTTTTTATTTTTATTATACACTACAAAATACAATGCATGCTACACAATATGCTGCATAATCTACTAGCAGGGATAGAAGAGCATGACTGAGTTGTTCTTCATCAACCAGGAAAACGTTTCCTTAATCAATGTTCTCCAAACCCTGAAAAACAGTTTAAAAAGGAAAATGAGAGAATTCTGTTCCTCTCAAAGATGTACAATGACTCCTAGAACCTGTAATGATTCCTAGTTTTCATTTTCTGACAGTAACAAATATATCACTTTAAACTGTTTTATAAAACAACAGCCAACATCAGGAAGAGATGATTAGCCTTATTCTACTTTTTTACAAATGAAAAAAATTAAAAAAAAAAACAATGGAGGCTCAGCCAGGTTAAAAGTCCCTTGTTTGAGTCAGTCAGGAAGTAGTAGAGTCAGAATTCAAGTTCAGGGACCACTCACCCCCTCTAGAACTTTTGCCCTGTAAGCATGACACTGTTTGGAAGACCATTCTATCACACTCAGTTCACAACCAAATGCTTCAGAAACTATAGAGTAAAAGTGTCATCAGTGATGGCATTTCTTCCAGGTTGTTAAAATAACACAGTCCAGGTATTCTGTTTCTATTACAGGAATAATCTTTTTAAAGAATGAGGACGAACTCCTACAACATATAAGAACATACTATTAGGCCGAACCATATGAAAATGCTACTGCTTGACCATTTTTGACCCACACAAAAAAATACTTGTTTCGTGATTCAATCAAATATAAATTATAGTAATTCTTTAATGTACTGGTGCATGAACTGGCAAACCAATGGAGTATAGAAGAGTACATTAGTGAAACAGGCCCATGTATATATGGATATTTAGTTTACTAGAATGGTATCTGAAACAAACAAAAAAATGGACTGTTCTATAATTCTGACAACTGGCTGTTTCTTGGAAAAAACTAAAGTTAAATCTTTGCTTCACATTATACCCCCAAATAACCTGTAGACAGGTCAGAGTACTAACTGTAAAAAAGGGGAAAGGATTGTTAATTGTATTTGGAGAAACTGTAGAAATATTTTTTAGAATCTTGGATATGAAAGTCCTTTGTACCAATGTAAACCATGATAAACAGAACATCCATATTAAAAATCTATCTGATGAAAGCCAGGATAAAGTAAAAAAGACAGAAGACAGAAAAATATTTGCCACACATAAAAGAGACAAAAGATTAACATCTGTAATGTATAATAAGAACCTCTATAAATCAAAAAGAAAAAAGACAACAGAACAAGAAAGGATATAAGCAGACAATGCAGAGAATAAGACGATCATTAGTATGTAAAAAGCACTGTGTTACTTTAATTTGCATTTTCCCAGTCTGCTGTAAGCCCTTTGGCAAAGCGTTAACCAGAATGCATCTCAACCCTGACAGGTGGGCTAGCATCAGAGCCATCTTACCTTTGACACATAGTAACGGTTTACTCCAGAGACACGCCTATCTCTTTCCAGCATATACCACTGATAGGAATAATGGGCAATCCTTTTTTCCTACAATGAAAGGAAATCATTATTGCAGTTTATAAAGGTGAGTGAGCCAATAGAAAAATATTAGAACTTTAATTAATAAGTGACATTCCAGAAAAATGGAATCATCACTCATATAAAAACCAAATTAATACAGAATCTTAAATAAAATTGGACCACTAAACTTTAGAATTAAGACAGTAACCATGACTTCTTACACATTCTGTTTTAACCAGCATCATTTTTTTTCTTTCCTCTTTTTTTTTTTAAAGTCATGACTACTTGTTCCTTTTGGGGACGCTGGGATGAAAGAACAGAGGTAGGTCACAAGTGAAAGACGATCACAAAACCAGAAACCAAATACATTGATACTTTATACTTTAGAGTTAACGTAAAGAACTAGTTAGACAGAAAAATCACAATCCTAAAGTGAAAACCAGGAGCTTGAGCTAAATTCCTAAAGGCTTGCAAGAGAAAGTGGGGGATAAAAGAAAATGTCAAGGTAAAAAAATCTAATTAAGGGGAATTCCCTGGCCGTCCAGTGATTAGGACGCTTTCACAGCCAGTTGCCCGGGTTCAGTCCCTGGTCGAGGAACTGAGATTTCGAAAACAGCGTGTCAAGGCCCCCCGCCGCCAAAAAAAAAACTAATTAAATCAAGGCTAGGAAAAAGTGAAAAACGAGAAGCTACCGAGATATGGATGCGAAAAATTAAAATAAAAATCCAGCCAGAAAGGAGGCTTGGGATGGAGGCAAGACTAATTGACGCCTCTCTCCTCTGCCTAGGTAGGGCTTCCCTGGTGGTTCAGACGGTAAAGAATCTGCCTGCAATGCAGGAGACCCCGGTTGGATCCCTAGGTCGGGAAGATCTCCTGGAGAAGGGAATGATAACCCACTCCAGTATTCTTGCCTGGAGAATTCTATGGACAGTGGAGCCTGGCGGGCTACAGTCCACGGGACTGCAAAGAGTCGGGCACGACTGAGCGACTAATACTTTCTATTTTCTTTCTCCTCTGCCTAAGAATTTGGACTTAACCTCTTTTAATCTACCTTTCCAGCCCCCAGTCTCTACTCCACCCTCCAGCCCTGGCTTCACCCAGTAACCTTACTAAATCTTTACTAAAGTGGAACACGGTTCCGGACGGGTTTCCTTCCGCAAGTCTCCGTTTTTAGGCAATTAAAAACACTGGCGAAAACCGATCTCAGTATTCCCCATCTCGGAGAGAGCCTCCGGGTCCTAAGGGCCTCCCGACACCACCATCCATTACGTAACGGCAGCGATGGAATCAGCCGCCGGGCCGGAGAAGCCGCCTTACCTTGCCCCCGTTACTGAACCTGTGGATGCGCGCGGTGGCCATTCCCGGGATGAACAAGCACACGCCCATGACAGCGATCCCGGGGAGAACCTCGAACCACATCGCGACGCCGTTCCCGAGGCCAAACACTCCCTTCCAGGTCCCTTAAAGGTGACCCGGCTTCGAGCTCTTCCGGGTAAGCTCCGCGGCTGCGCGCGAGTGGGGCCGGAGTTACGTCAGCCGCCAGAGGAAGCGACGGGGCGCGGCAGGGCTCAAGAGGAGCGCGCGCCCGCGCTCTCGCACACTGCCTGCTCTCACACACTCCCTACTCCCGCAGTCCTCTTTCTGCGGCAGATTTTGCGTCAACTCGCCGCCGTGTACCGGACGTGCAGTAACGCCAGCCAGCCCCGCGCCAGCCAGCCCCGCGCCAGCCCAGCCCCGCGCCAGCCAGCCCCGCGCCAGCCAGCAGATCATCGCCGTTTCGTACCTCAAGACTCTAAAAATGGCAGAGCAACTTTCCCCAGGAAAGACGACAGACCAGGTGTGCACCTTTCTTTTCAAAAAGCCTGGGCGAAAAGTGGCTGCAGGCCGCAGAAAGCGCCCGATCTGCAACCAGGAGTCTGGAGACAGCAGCAGCAGCAGTGACGAAGGGAACACTGTGGTTCGCCCGGAAAAGAAGCGAGCGGTCCATAATCCGATGATACAGAAGACCCGTGGCAGTGGTAAACAGAAGGTGGCATACGGCGACCTGAGTAGCGAGGAGGAGGAGGAGAACAAACCCGAGAGTCTCGGCGTGGTCTATAAGTCCACTCGCTCGGCGAAACCCGTGGGGCCAGAAGATATGGGGGCGACTGCTGTCTACGAGCTGGACACCGAGAAGGAGCGTGACGCACAAGCCATCTTTGAGCGCAGCCAGAAGATCCAGGAAGAGCTGAGGGGCAAGGAAGATGACAAGATCTATCGGGGAATCAATAATTATCAGAAATACATGAAGCCCAAGGATACGTCTATGGGCAATGCTTCCTCCGGAATGGTGAGGAAGGGCCCCATCCGAGCTCCCGAGCATCTGCGTGCCACCGTGCGCTGGGATTACCAGCCTGACATTTGTAAAGACTACAAGGAGACTGGCTTTTGTGGCTTCGGAGACAGCTGTAAATTCCTCCATGACCGTTCAGATTACAAGCACGGGTGGCAGATCGAACGCGAGCTTGATGAGGGTCGCTATGGCGTCTATGAGGACGAAAACTATGAAGTGGGAAGCGATGAGGAGGAAATACCATTCAAGTGTTTCATCTGTCGCCAGACCTTCCAAAACCCAGTTGTCACCAAGTGCAGGCATTATTTCTGCGAGAGCTGCGCGCTGCAGCATTTCCGCACCACCCCGCGCTGCTATGTCTGTGACCAGCAGACCAATGGCGTCTTCAATCCAGCGAAAGAATTGATTGCTAAACTGGAGAAGCATCGAGGTGCAGAAAAGGGTGGTGCTTCAGATTTCCCAGAAGACCCCGATGAGGATCCAGTTCCCATTACTTAAATTTCCCCATTATTCTCAAATCTCAAAATAAACGTTTTGTTGTTTTGGAAATCTTAACTCGTGTCCTTCCTTTCTAGGGAAAGTGAATAAAAGGAAAAGGTGGGTGGTGAAGTAGGGTCCTGGATGGATGGCTTGCAAAAGCATCAAGGTAGGTAAAATCTGGAGTTTTACCTGGCATAAATGCTGCCTGTGTGTAACAGTTACTTTTCATAACCCTTTTATATAAATTTGGGGGATGGGAGAAGTTCAACAAAAGAGCTAGAATTTGCTTGAAGTGACCAAAGCTGTGATAAAAACAAGAACTGAACCTATTTATTATATCACAATTATGCATCACTTAATAATTTACGAAAGTATTTTCATGCATGATCTTTTGGGGCCTGTAATACTTCAAAATACACCCCAGCCAAGGTGTGTGTTGGGGTTGGGGGAGCAGTGAGAGTGGGAGAATTAGGATGGGGGACTGGTAGCTAGACCTGCAACCTGTGTGTATGGGGAATGTTCCTTGCTCTCCTTGAAGCATAGGTAACTCCTTCCATGGATGATTGAAATGGTCTATGCTCCGGGGTCCAATATGATAGCCACTAGCTTCATGTGGCTGTTGGAACGTTTGAAATGTAGCTTGGTATGACAAAAACCACTGCAATGTTGTAAAGTAATTAGCCTCCAACTAATAAAAATAAATGAAAAAAAAAAAGAAAAGAAAAACCAAAGGGCCAGGGGTAGCAAAGACAATCCTGTAGAATAAAAAAGTAGAGGGGCTGCACTAGTGGACAAGAGGACTTGTCTCAAGCATGTAGTTTTGACAAAAAGATAAATCAATGAATAAAACAGAATAGTCCAGAAAAACAGATATACATGGTCATCTGATTTACAACAAAGATGCCACTGTAGCACTTTTCAATAAATAGTGCAGAAAATTGACTATATGGGGAAACAAATTCCCAGGTGGCTCACTGGTAAAGAATCTGCCTGTTAAAGCAGGAGACACAGGAGACACGAAATGAAAAAAGAAAAAAAAAAAGAAATGTAGCTGGTAGTGACCCTATGCAGTTCTGGACTGAACTTGTGAACCTGCAGAAAGCAAAAGCCTAACATTTTATAATCCAGTGTCTGAAACTGTATTTTCATAGAGCTGATCATGCCCTATTAATCTATGTACCTGTTTTCCCAACTAGCCTGTGAATTTCTCAGTGACCAGGCCAGTGCTTGGCATATAATAAGCACTTAATAAATAAACTCAGAGAGGTCTGAAAAAGGAGATCAGGGCCAAAGCCTTGAACCCAAGCCGAGGAGCTTTGACTATATTCTGTAGGTAAAGAGATTTGGGGAGGGGAACACAAACTTTTTTTTTAATGTTACTATGGTTACAGGCTATCAGACTGCAGCAAGATGGAAAGCAGAGAGGCCAGTTAGGACAAATGACTAGTAAATTTTTATTGATCTGACTAGAATTTGGGCTGATCCCAGGGAAAAGATGTAAGAATAAATTGTGGGTTAGAGTTTTTATATTCATATACATTAATCTACTTAAAGATATTCTTTGAGGAGCCACTCTTGTCAGGCACTGTGCCTAGCATACGGGATATTAGCAAAGAAGATAGACATAGCCCCTGACCTCATGGAGCTGGACATCACACAGTGCAGGTTTGATGAGTACAAAAACAAAAGTGCACTGGGCTGACCTCTCAGGATTAAGCCAATTCCAGCCCTTGAGAGAATTCAGAATCAAAGTCATCTCATACAATGTCATATATTCTTTAACAGAATGTTTTAAGTACAGTGGGGATACATGAGAAGCCTAGCGGGAAAAGTGCTTAAGAAAGTATGACACAGAAAACAGCATTTAAGGGATGAGACAAAAAAAAAAAAAAAAACCAGGAGAACAGGAAAGAGAAAGTTGTAAAGGCAGTTGGAGAAAGAGAAACTTAGGTGGCGCTAGTGGTAAAGAAACTGCCTGCCAATGCAGAAGATGTAAAATGATGTAGGTTCGATCCCTGAGTCAGGAAGATCCTCGGAGGAGGGCATGGCAACCCACTCCAGTATTCTTGCCTGGAGAATCCCTTGGACAGAGGAGCCTGGCGGGCTACAGTCCATAGCATCACAGAGAGTCAGACACGACTGAAGCAACTTAACAGACACACTGAGGTGGAAGGCAAAGGAAGACAGTGTTCTAAAAAGTGTTATGGAAAGAAACAGGACAACGAGTAGCAAAAATCGTGGTATGCTCAAGGTATTTTTCATGTTTACAAGGTTTATGATTAAAATTTTTAAAAGAACTATTTTTATTACTCTAATTAAATGGTGCAACTTAATTTATAGGTGAAAACTAAATAGTTATTCTTACAAATTAGAAAAAAATTAAATACGGGGGTGGTTCCCTGGTTGCCTAGTGGTTAGGACTCTGGGCTTCCACTGCCATGGCCCAGGTTCAATTCATGGTCAAGGAACTGAGATCCCACAAGCCCTGGGGCATGGCCAAAAATAAATAAATAAATATGGAGGGGTAAAGAGCATGCCAGCCAAGATGAGTTGCAGCTGGACCCTAAAGGCGCTAACCTAGTCTGAGAGTTCAGAGGAGGCTCCCCTAGGAGATGACCTCAACTGGAGACCTGTAAATGGGGGTTAGGAAGAGGATCCAAGTCAGAGGGTCAGTATATCCCATGGAACTGAAGTGAGAGACTGGCTTCAGCTAAGAACTCCAAAGCAGTCCAGGATACTAGAGGAAAAAGACAGGTGGCCAGGTAGTCAGGGCCAAAGAACAGCCACCTTGCTGTCATGTTAAGGACTCTGGACTTTATCAGAAAGGCAAAGGGATGCCATCAAAAGGTTTTAAGAAAGAAAGAGAGCTGATCAGATTTGAATTTTAAAAAGATAATTCTGCAGTGTGAGGAATGGACTGTAGAATGTGGAGCCAAGACAGATCAGACTGGAGGCTGGTGCACCAGTCCACGTGATATCATGGCAGACTGGACTAGACTGGGACTGTGGACATTCATTTAATAGTGGGTTTTTTTTTTACCATTCTAAAGCCTTTATTAGCATCAGGTAGATTATTTCATTATAACTTCTTAACTTCAAGACAGCCATTGAAATAACTTGCTGGAGGTTACCTAAGGCCCATAGGAGCAAAATCTCAGCCTGGGATTGGGTAGATAAATACCAAAAGATTAATGTACCCCAATTAAAGGAGCAAAGCTACTGTACAGTAGGTCTCCATACATATCTTAAGTACACAGGTGCCTTGCAAGCCTGAAATGCTCAAGACCTCCTTTTATATAGTTTGATATTTATAATACATGAATACAACCGAGTTTCTCAGGTGGCATTTGTCAATGGAAGTTGAAGCATTTAAAAAGGTTTGTCATTATGTAATGGTGCCTAAAACCTCTATTTCTATGGTATTTTTGTGAATTGCTAGGTTTTATTCACCTTTTAATTCTAATGACATTAATTATAGAAAACTGTACAAGTAAGTTCAGAGTACTAAAATAAGCAAATGAAATACTTTTTCCAGTTTAGAATTTTCAAATCAGGAATGTCTCTTCCAAACATTCAGGCATTTTTTTTTCTTTTTAGGAATGGGAAGGAGTAAAATTGATAGGATTAGCATGAAGAAAAGCAATCTTTTCAATGTAGTCTTTACAAAAATGACATAAAACCTTCTCTATATTTGAGCATATAAACCTCATATAGGAGAATTCTAACCATTACAAAGTTAAATCTAAAACATTCAAGCATGACAGCATAAAAATATTCAAATAACTTGATTTGGGTTACTATATAATTCCATAAAGCTAAAGTTACATTTAAGTATAAACTTAGCAAATACGGCAATAGCAAACATCGAAAGCTTATTTGCCAGCAGTTTCCCATACCTCTGTATAAAATAGTATTCCAAAGAAGCATGACTGGATAGCAGAATTACCCATTTTTCCTAAGACTTTCATCACCAGTATCACCCTATGCCCCACTATTGTTGGGTGAAGTGCAACTTATCATGAGATGGTTTTTCCCTTTGAAAAAAGATAAGGAGAAACTAAGGAAGAAAATTTTAAAACATAGATTTAAGACTTATCTGTGGATGAGCCAAAACACCCCAACTTGTATGCTGCTGCTGTTGCTAAGTCACTTCAGTAGTGTCTGACTCTGTGCGACCCCATAGACGGCAGCCCACCAGGCTCCGCCGTCCATGGGATTTTCCAGACAAGAGTACTGGAGTGGGTTGCCATTGCCTTCTCCGCCCCAACTTGTCTACATTTTAGTAAATGTCAGACAAATTGAAGTAGTTTCTGTCCCAGTAGCTGCCAGAATAAAGCCAGTCCTGGGCTCCGCTGTAGGGATTAGGGCCTTGATGGAACCACCTCGTCTTCCAGTCCTCTGACTTGGACCTGTTCTTGCATGCCACTCTTTGTTTCTCCTCGAGTCGCTTTTTTTCTTCACTGGCTTGATCCATTTCCCCATTCTCCATGGCTCTGATGTCAGGCCGCAGCCTGCAGTCTATCTTAGGAAGCATGCTCTCCATCTCCTTGTCTACTTCATTCAAAACCATTGCAAAGCTAGTAAAATTATACATCTGGGCCTAATTCAGAGGCTGTGGGGCTATTCGCCACAGGAGAATGCTCCCAGGGATGACAAACATGCTCTGGGATTCTGGCACTGGCATTTCATCCGACTCCTCAGAAGCACTTACCTGTTTGCTGTTCTTCTCTTCAGTATTTTTCTTATCATTTTTTTGGTAAGCATAAAATGTGGCCAGGTCAACACTGTACAAACATTCTGTCCACTTCCCGTAGAGAGCACAGAGCTTCTTTTTGCTTTTATCTTGAATGTAGCCTTCAACTACGTGAAATTATTTACCAAAAAGGCCACATGGCTTAAAATTCAACAGGCATTTGTCCCCAGTCTTGTGGTTTGTAATCTCCACATTGCCATACTGCTCTATCCAGAGCTTTCCCACAATGATGTTGTGCACACAGCAGGTAGGATTCACTCACATATATGCTTCATTGTGCTCAAGAAGCTCCAACGTCATGGTTCCTTAGGGTTCTGCTTCTATGCTTTTCCCCCAGAACTTCAGTTTGGGATTGATTGAGCCATGAAAGATGAAATCATTGTTTAATCCTTCAGCATGAAATGCACTAATGGGTGGGTGATGGCTGACATGCTCAGAGATGAGTCTGAAACCAAGGTCATCTAGAACTAATTCATAAGTCTCTCCCAGAAGTGGGCTGAAAAGCTTTCCAGTGCGTTCCCACTGAGAAGCAACAGCAGAGACAGCAAAGGCAGCTACCCACTGCATCCTTTCCACAGGATCTGCAAACGAACTGGCCTTGTGGATGAGGTATGCATGCTCCATGTATTCAGTGAGTCGCTGGAGGAAGCTCAAAGGCTCATTAAATATAACTGGCATGGTCATCTTGGAGAGTTCCATTCTGATACATTTTCTCAGGCTGCTCCATATACTGAAGTCATTTCTGGAGAACATACGGGAGGGCAGGCTTGTTCTGTGTTTTTCGATGCCTTTGGAGAACACGTCTTCACCACCAGAGTCCTTGCCTTCCGACATTCTGTGCTGTCTACTGCTCCGGGCGCTCTGCTTCCTCTTCCAAGGAGTGCGTGGTCAGTCACTGCTTCCAGTCTGCTCGGGGACAGAGCTCGCCCTCACTAAAGATGCTCAGAGGCGGGGAGCCTTTGACCAGAGACTGCTCTAATTCGTGATGTTCAGTGGCTAGAGTAGCCAGCGCTTCTGAAAAAATTTTGGTTTTTCTCTTGTTCCTGTTCCAATTTCAAATTCCTCGCCTGGGCCGGGGCTGGGGCCGGGGCCGCGGCTCTCCCTGGCGGCTCACTCCGCCTGGTGCTGCTCGCTCCGCCCGGAGCTGCTCAAGGCTCCCTCACGAATGCGCTCGGCCTGTCCTTTCGCCTTTTTTCCAGCCCAGCCGGGAGGCGCGATTAAGGGCGACACCGCAAAGTCTCCCTAAGTCACCTTCGCGCGGTCCGCCCCCGGCTCCGGAGAGGTCGAGCAGGAGAGAGGCGCGGCCCAGGACCAACGCCCGGGCCGCCCGCGGCCCGCGCTGTCCGGTCGGCTACACCGCCGCCCTCTGGGGCTCCCGCCGGCCTAATAAATAGTTTTTAAGCACCCACTATATGCCAGGCATTGAGTTAAGCACTGGCGATACAGCCAGAGCAAAGGCACTCGAATCCCCACACTCTAGAACTTACATGAGAGAGCATAGCAGAATCGCACATGCATAATATATAACGAACGGAGCTAAGTGCTATAAAGAACACTGGAGCAAGGTAAGGGGATGAGAGAGCGTGCCCGGGGAGGGGGCATGTCATTGTATATAGGGTGGTCAGGGAGGGTCTCTTTCTGATAAGGTGACTTTTGAGCAGAGACCTAAATGAAGCGGATAATCTGGGAGAACAGCATTCCAGACAGAGGACACCAAGTACAAAAGCCCTGAGGCAGGAACGTGCCCAATTTGTCCTGAGAACAGTGAGGAAGAAATTTAATGATCTGTTTTGGAGAGCCCATACAGAATGAACTCAAGGAAGAGGAAAGAACTGTAAGATGAGATAAGAGAAGTAATGGGGGGGTGAGGGCAGACTGTGTACAGCTTTATGAGCCATTGCTAGAAGTTGAGGTTTTATTGTCAGTGAGGAGGAGGGTTACTGGGAGGCTTTAAGCAGAGGACTCACATGATCTGACACTGGCTTTAGAAAGGATCCTTCTGGAACTTATGGGGGGTAGTGGAAATGTTTTATATCTTAACTGGGGTGTTTGTTACACTAGTGTCTACATTTGTCAAACTCATTGGAATGTACATGTATGTGCATTTCATTGTACGTGATTAATATTTCATTGAGAAATATCTTCAAGTCAAAGGAGAAAAAAGAAACTGGTTGCTATGTAGAAAATACTCCAGGGTAGGCAGGTCACGGGATGGAGCGGAGAGATCAGAAGGCTACTGCTATTGTCCAGGTGAGAGATGGCAAGTGCCTCAAACCAGGTGGTGATGAGAAGGGGTCAGATTCTAGATGTAGTCTGAAGATAAAACTGACAAGGTGTCTTGGCAGGTTAGATATGAGGTGTAAGATAAAGAGTCAAGGTGACTCCAAGATTTTTGACTTGAGTAACTGGGTGGAAAGTGGTACCCTTTAGTGAGATGGAGAAAGGCACATACAGAAAAGTACAGAAAACACAACTTTGCAGTATAACGAGTAGCTACATAGGAAGCCTTGGCATAACCACCACCCAGGTCAAGAAATACAAAACTAACAATGCTCAAGAAGCCCCTCAAGTATCCAGATTCTCCAGATCGCACACACAGGTAACCACTCTGCTGATTTTTATGGTAATCACTCCCTTGCTCTTTTCCCATTGATCTTCGTCTTTAGCTATTTCTCTCTCCTTCCCTCTCACCAAGCCAAGAATAATGTATACTTGGTATCTTTCATTTTCTCATAACAGCTTTACTGAGATACAACTTACATATCATATAATTCATCATTTTAAAATATGCCCTTGAGTGGCTTTCATTCACAAGTATATTCACAAGGTTGTGTAACCATCCCCACTATAATTTCAGAACATTTTCTCAATATTTCAAAAACAAAAGCATACCCTATATATGAAACTAACACAATAGGGTAAATCAACTATGTTCCAATAAAATTAAAATTTTTAAAAATTTGCTAATAATAAAAAAGAAAAGCATACCCATTAGCAGTCACTCTCCATCTCCCCAGTCATCCAGTAATCTTTCTGTCTCTATATATTTGCCTCTCCTGGACATTTCATATCAATGGAATCACATTGGGTTGGCCCAAAAGTTCATTTGGGTTTTTTATGGAAAAACTGTACTGAACTTTTGGGCCAACCCAATACAATGTATGGCCTTTTGTGTCTGCCTGCTTTCACTTAGCGTGTTCTCAAAGTTCATCCACATTGTCGAGTATATCAATACATTCCTTAATGTGGCTGAGTAATACTCCATTTTACAGAGATACTACCTTTTGTTTATTCATTTATCAATTGATGGACTTTAGATTGTTTCCACATTTTGGTTATTATGAGTAATGATACGTTCATGGGCACACACGTCTGTGTTTATGTGTATCTTCATTTCTCTTGGGGAGATATATAGGAATGGAAATGCTGTTATATGGTTAACTCCTTAACCTTTTTAAAACTGTTTTTTAACTGAAATGAAATTCACATAACATTAAATTAACCAATTTAAAGTGGTTAATTTTAATAAAGTGAACAGTTTGGTGGCATTCACAATGTTGCGAAACTACTGTGCGTGTGTGCTCAGTCGCTTCAGTCGTGTCCGACTCTTTGTGACCCCATGGACCACAACCCGCCAGGCTCTGCTGTCCATGGGATTCTCCAGGCAAGAACACTGGAGTGGGTTGCTTTGCCCTCCTCCAGGGGATCTTCCCGACCCAGCCGTCTCTATGTCCTCTGCATTGGCAGGCAGGTTTTTTACCACTAGTGCCACCTGGGAAGCCCTATGAAACTACTGCTACTGCTGCTGCTGCTAAGCTGCTTCAGTGGTGTCCGACTCTGTGCGACCCCATAGACGGTAGCCCACCAGGCTCCCCCGTCCCTGGGATTCTCCAGGCAAGAACACTGGAGTGGGTTGCCATTTCCTTCTCCAATGCCTGAAAGTGAAAAGTGAAAGTGAAGTCGCTCAGTCGTATCCACTCTTAGCGACCCCATGGACTGCAGCCCACCAGGCTTCTCCGTCCATGGGATTTTCCAGGCAAGAGTACTGGAGTGGGTTGCCATTTCCTTCTCCTATGAAACTACTAGCTCTATATAATTACAAAACATTTTCATCACCTCAGAAGAAAACCTCATACCCACTAAGTAAATGCTCCCGAGTCTCTCCTCTCAGCATCTTCTGGCAACCACCAATCTGCATTGTTTCCATGGATTTAGCTATTCTAAATACTTCATGTAAGAGGAATCATACAGTATGTAGTCTTGTGTCTGGCTTTCACTTAATACAATGTTTTCAAGGTTCATTCACATTGTAGTATGTATATGTATCAGCACTTCCTTTTTGAAGCTGAATAATATTCCATTGTATGTATACACCACAATTTATTATCCATCTTTCTGTTGATGGATATTTTTGTATTTTCCACCTTTTGGCAATTTTGAATAGTGCTGCTCTGAAAAATGAGTGTCTATATCTTTGAGTACCTGTTTTCCAATTCTTTTGAGTATTCACCTAGGAGTAGAATTGCTGGGTCATATGGTAATGCTATCTTTAACTTTTTGAAGCACTGGCAAACTGTCTTCTTTTAGCAGCTAAGGCATTTTATTTAGGAAACCCGAACAAACTTTTTTTTAAATTTACATATTTTTAATTGAAGGATAATTGCTTTACAGTATTGTGTTGGTTTCTGCCATACATCAACATGAATCAGCCATAGGTATACATATGTCCCCTCCCTCTTGAACTTCCCTCCCACCCCTCTAGGTGTGAACAAACTTTTGGCCAACCCAATATATTCCTACCAGCAGTGTAAGAGGGCTCCAGTTTCTCCACATCACCAGCACTTGTTATTTCCCTTTTTCTTAAAAGCAATCCTAGTAGGTGTGAAGCGGTATCTCATCATGGCTTGGATTTGTACTTCCCTTATGACTAATGACTGAGCATCTTTACATGTGCGTGTTGGCCATTGTATGTCATCTCTGGTGAAATGTCTATTCAAGCCCTTTACCCATTTTTAAATTGGGTTTTTTGACTCTGGGTTGTTCAGTTGCAAGAGTTCTTTATATATTCTGGATACCAGGCCCATATCAGATAAATAATGTACAAAATTTTGCTCCCAATCTGAGTTGTCTTTTTACTTTCTTGTTGGTATTCTTTGAACCACAGAAGGTTTTAATTTTGATGAAGTACAATTTAACCACTTTTCTTGTTATTCATGCTTCTGGTGTCACATCTGAAAATACATTGATAAATCTGAAGTCATAGAGATTAACCCTTATGTTTTCAAGAGTTTTATAGTTTTAACTCTTTCATTTAGGTTTTTGATCCATTTTAATTTTTGTGTATGGCATGGGATAAGGGTTTGATTTCATTCTTCGGCCTGTGGCTATCCAGTGATCTAGCACCATTTGTTGAAAAGTCCATTGAATGTTCTTGGTACTCTTGTAAAATGAATCAGTTGACTATAACCAAGTGGGCTTGTTTCTGGACTCTCAGTTCTACTCCATTTACCTATATGTCTATTCTTATGCCAGTACTACAAGGTCTTGATTACTATCATTTTATAGAAAGTTTTAAAATCAGAAGTGTGAACCTCCTTGTTGTTTTGGATATTCTGGATCTCCAAAATTCCTTATGAATGTTTGAGTCAGCTCATCAACTTCTACAAATAAATCAGCTGGGATTTTAACAGAGATTTCACTGAATCTGTATATCAATTTAGGGATTATTTCCATCTAAATAATGTTAACTAATATGGGGAATTCCCTGGTGGTCCTGTGGTTAGAACTACATGCTTTCACTGCAGGGGGCCTGGGCTCGACCCCTGGTCAGGAAC